CCCCAGTCCGTGAAAGAAATTATCTTCCACGAAACCGGTCCCTGGTGCCAAAAAGGTTGGGGCCCACTGGATAAATGGGTACGCCACGGTTAGTTTATCGACATGGTCATGTTTGGTGGGATAAAGTGTGGGTATTCGTACCTTACAAGACATCTGGGCAATGTGGAACTGTAGGCCAAAATCTAAATACCCTCTAGAAAGGCCCCTCCAGAGCTCCCTATAATGGAGGCCGTTCCACCAGTAAGTCTCGTTGTTCGGTTAAGCTCGCAATGAAAGATGCAACTTATTGCTTGCAGTATTTTCAAAAGTTATTTGTACAACAGCATGCAAGAACAGAGGTAAAAACAAAGCAAGTTCATTTTGTCACGTTAATTTGTTTTAGAAGCTTTCTATAACCAAAAAAAAAAATCACAAACGTGTGGCTATCATCTCTCCAGATTTCAGTGGAAGCTGATCTCTATGACAGAGCAGCGTCGCTCATGCGGAACTAAGTTCACATTCATACATTACGCCGGTGCTCAGCGAACCAGTGGTCCCGTTAGCCGTCACTACTGGCGCGGGCATTGGAATCGTTGTCGACTTGCTAATGGCCCTCTGCGCGTGCTATGACTTGCATTTTACTATTGTACTTGGGATACCGTAAAAGTGTGGTCTTTCAAATATTTTTTGGATTGTAGAGAGTGATTCAGACGTGTTGCTTTGGTTCTCTTTGATCTTTTGCCAGTTAAACTATTCACCATTGCACATGATAATCTATGCTGGTTCACTACCACTGCCAATCCTATGCGATGTTTAGATCTTTCAAATGTGCCCCTGGAGGATGGTTAATTGGTGAGTCTTTTCCTTCAATGGATTATGCACCGCACGCATGTAAACATATTTACTATACACGCTCCATGGGATAGTATCACTCAGACGTGCGCGTATTTATTGCAGCAACTTTGAGGAATAAAATGTGAACTAATTGATAACATATTGTTGCACATAGAGCTGGAAAGTAATCGATGACCTTTGTTGTGGTCGATTACTTGGGCCCCTTTAAGAATGGCAGCCCGCCACACATCACGCCTCATCAAAGGCAGGAGACCCCTACAAGCCACGTCCAGCGTGAGGCTGCTGATGACATTGGCAAGCGCTGCCTAACACCTCCCATCCAGTGGCACATGTGGGAACAGAGGTGAGACTTTTTTCCCCAACAATTTTTGTGTTGTGCAATTAGTCAAGTAATCGAACCAATAATTGATAGTTTAATCGATTACTTAAATAATCGGATATTTCCCCAGCTAGAGTTCGAAAGAAAATTAGTATATATTTTTTGAAGACCTCTAGTATATAGTTAAACTAATTTATTTGTGGTCTATATGGTGTTTAAACTGTTTTGCATGCTTGCTTTTAATGGCCCTGCTCAATATATTTTCATGTTTAGTACCAGTTGTGTCATTTGCAACAGCAATTAACACATTCTTGCGGAGGGAGCTGGTAGGAACGTTGCGTTGCTCGGCCAATGGCCAGGGTCAACGGCGGCGTGGTGTATTCCGCAAATATGGCCGACTGTGAGGGCGGGCACAAACCGGCGTGAGTAGGTTAAACGTTGAGTTTCATAAGGGCACCACGGGGTGACCAGCCCCTCCCCACCCAGCCCCACCCCTCCCAACCCCCACCCAGCCCCACCCTCCCCTCCCCACCCAGCCCCTACCAGTATAATTGTTGCATGTGAAACAATGAACCTCTGCCATGCATTTATAAAATCACCAGGGCTGTCCAATTTAGAATTTCACTGCAAATGTGTACCATGGGCGTGGCACAATGTGGCCTCTGTTTTGATCAACAATGCTGCAGACGTTTTGCCCACGTTACAGCGATCTCCCATAACGTTGGACAGGCGGCTATGCAATTACGCATCTAATGCCCTCAAGCTGGTCTCATGACAAGCATAGGATCCACATCCTCTCAGTCGTTCAGTGTAATTGACTGATGGGTTTTATGCACACACGACTTTATGTTTAGGTTAAGCTGAGCTTGGAACTTGGCCAAGTATTGCATGTCCCATATGCTGCCACAGCCTTATTTGACTCTGAGCTCGTCTTACTATGGACGAGGGCTGTTTATTTTGGAAGGAAACCAGCTGAAAAAAAATGTGAATTAATTTAATTATATTGCAACCCTTATAACTTTTCCAAGAATGTTTTCCTCAGTGATAGTTGAAGGTAATCATGTTGAATAATATTATTGTTGCACTGAGTTTAATCGTTCTGCTTAAGCATTGCACTTTCTGCAAGATCCATTCTTTATACAGTAACTAGCTGTACTACCCGGCTTCGCCCGGGACTTGGAACCACCACGCCCGGTCTCCTTTGTATCCCCAGTGGCGATGTTCTCACACCACAGCAGTTATTTGTTTGAGGCTGAGTCGACCTAGGGGAGGCCCAGGACCGGTTAAAATAATCGTCACCGGTGGTGGCCGTGAGCGGGAATCGAACTTGGGTCGCCGGGTTTGGTAGCGCGGCGCGCTACCTGCTACACTACAATGCGTTACGCTTCCACGTGCGCGGGTCACGTGACAGATGTGACGTCACAGCTCACTTGCCGTGCAAAAAATATCTGCATTATTGAGCCCCCCCACCCCCAAAAAAGTGTATTTTTTATAATTTGTGCATGGTGTACAGTCTGGAAAGTACCCACATGGCAAATTTCAAGTTTGTTGCATGTCGGGAAGTACGCTAAACATTTTGAACAGACACACATAATCACAACTTATATATATGGAGATAACCTTCTAGGAATCTATTGTGGGCACCTGTGTAATTATCTATTAAACATTCCCTTGAAGCTTTCAGAAACACTAGGGCCGGGAAGTGTGTGTTTTGACAGGCATTATTTTTGCCAGTCTTCTAACAGCAACGGATTGTAACAAATGCAGGTGATGTCACAACTACAGGAGTGTCTGTGTCATTTCCATTATTTATAGTGATTCTGGGTGTTCATGGTCTCCTCTGCTCCATAGTCCATTTTCTTGTTTCTCTCACCTCGCCTCACTCATGATTCCTTCTCTTCACATGCCTCCCCCCCACACTCCCCTCAAAGCCACATTCCCACTCAGCCTCCCGCCCCCTCTGCACCCATAGCCCACTCTCCCGGAGTTATGGAACCACATGGGACCTCAGACATGCCTTTATCTAACCCTTGCACTGGGGTAAAATTTCAGTGTCTATGGCAACTTTGGTATTGGCTGGGTCTACCCAAGAGAGGCCTTATATGGTAACATAGAGGAGGGTGATCAATGCAGGGCCAACAGAACTGAGGCTTTCTTTCACAGCATTGATTTTGTTTAGATTAGTCAGCTGCCCGCATATAATATAGTGATGCATACATGCTCATTTTTTCTCTCCATTGCAACTGTTTTTAACAATGCTAATAGGGTTATTGTAACAGAAAGTTTTTTTTTTTATCTGAGCTTAACTGACAAGTTAAACTTTGGTTGTGTTTGAATTCCCACTTACGAGTGACTGCAAAACAAACGAGTGATATGCACTTTGCTGCTTTGTTGACTGAAAAAAAACATCCTCGACTTCAGCAGCATAATTGAGATTCACATTCTTACAACATTTTCATAAATGTTAAAATAAGCAGTGTCGGTTAATTATAAACATAAACAAACATCGTCCTTCAGAGAGGTTGGAGATTGATTAGCGTGATGAACTGAAGCATGCTCATTACTGATGAGAGGTTCAATGCTGACTTACACACAGATGCACTCTGCACTCAATATCCGCACCACAGTGAGTGCAGCAACACGGAGATTACTCTTTGGTTCTTTCGGCAAAGTCACGTAGAAAGAAATAAAATAAAATAATAATAGAATACGACTTTTCGATTGCAACACAAGCAACCATCATCAGGTACAAATGAGTGAGAAAACAAACATAGTAAACTTGGAAATATAATGCAATACAACACAGAGAGTTGGCCAACACAAGAGTCAACACCCCACCTGGTTGATTACGTTCTTCCAAAGATTGCTCAATTTGAGAGAGAGACAACACATCGACACGGAGACACACAGACATACACACGCAGAGAGATATTATCTCTCTGTTTGTCTCTGTGTGAGTCTCTCTCTGCAATCGAAACGTCATATTCTATTATTTAATTTAATATCTTTCTACGTAACTTTACCGCAAGAACCAAACAGTAATTCCTGCAGTCACGAAAGCTTCGAATCTAGCACAGAGATTGTTTGTTCCAGAGGAAGCCCTTTGTTGTTTATTGGTTGTTTTACAAGTTAATAGAAAGCAGACAACTTAAATGCTGAAAACAAATCTTGCATTTATATTTTTTTATCCAGGATTTCTCGAGGATTAATACAGATTTTGATTCTGATATATATATCTGTAGTGAATTATCATAAATTATTCATGCTGAGACAGGTCGACACTTTTTTATGTATTGACCCATCTAGAATATTCAGCCTTTGAAATCACAACTGCTTGTGTTATATTGCGTTGCCTGCAGTTGGATGTGGTTTTTTATATTGGGTGTTGTTGAGGCTTCACAGAGCATCTGATCCCATCTCTATGCCCTAACATTGGATTGTCAAGCAGAAGGGCAAATCTTTGAGTCCTGTGGCATTGACCAATCAAGGGGACTTAGGATTTGGATCACTGTCGGCCCGATTCACATTGAGTTTGTTTTCACGCTTTCATGGGATTCTATCTTAAACCGAAAATTTCACAAAAAGATTCTACCAAATTCATACAGTTCATGGCCCATGGCTTGACAGAAGCCGCTGCGAGGATGACCGGAGTTCGCGTGATGGTCTATGCTCTTTGACGAGATCAGCAAGGCATTGTGGTTAATTTGTGGCAAGCACGTTGTGTGTAATGAGTGCGACCTTATAATGTATGTATGTTGAACTTCTTTCGCACAGTATATGGCCAACCGTGCGAATAACAAACTTGCCAAAGGAGCTCGTTGTGGGCGGATGTGCGTCTGTGTTTCAGAGGTCAGCAAGTACGTGATGTCTTACGTGGCTGCCGTGTGCGGTAAGGGCGAGGAGGTGAACAAGGTGAAGGAGCAACTGCTGCAGTCAAACCCGGTCCTCGAAGGCAAGTCCACGCACACGGTTCCCAACGTACCCGTCAGCATGGCGGCACGCACCATGGACCTGGACTGTATATGTACACCATTGGAACCTCCTTTGCCAGTAGCAAAATATGACAATTGGTTTTTTTACCCTTTTATCTGGCAACAAAACTGACACCTTTTTTTTACCCCGAGCTCTCATACTCTGATGGTGCATTGTCTTTGAGTTGTGCACCTTTTGGCGTCATCTGGTCCAACACCATGTGAGACTAGGCTCTAAGAAAAGCTGTCTCGGGTGTGGACCAATCAATTTCAAGGACAGTGCATACATTATCAGAGTTGTGTTTTTTGTTTGCATTCCGACCGCAGGTATTGTGGTCAATGCAAACATGACTCCTTGTAAAAAAAGGTGTCAGTTTTGTTGCCAGATAAAGGGGTAAAAAACTAATTGTGTATATGTACAGTACAACTTCGCATATCTGACCGTCACATGTCCATACTAAGCAATGGATCGCCCCCCTCCACGCATTGAAGTATTTGTCCATGGTGGTATAACTGTCATGTTCCATAGACGTTCACAAACGCAGCCATTTACATGCAGTGGTGTGTTCTTAGTTTCGCGTGCAGTCACTTTCAAGCAGTTTGCGCTTCATTTTTGCCTGCTAACCTTTTTGTGTATGGTGGTGTAACTGTAATTTTCGATAAATGTTCACGTATCCGACATTGTTGCTTATCCACCTATACCCGTCCCCAGGCAGTCGCACCTCTGATTAGCATGGTTGGCTACGTACGGTGTGAAAGAAGTTTCAGCAGTACATACATTACAATCGGGTCGCATGCCCGATGTTATGTCAGTAGGGACAGAGTGGATAGCAGAGTCAACATGGATAGCACTGTTGTACATATATGGGATTCTTACCACATGGGGCTAAAACAGAATCAGAATGTTTATTTGGACTGGAGGAATCTGATAAGCTATGAAGCTCTCTTTTACAGATGTCCAGTCGGGGTGGGTCAGCAATCCGGTATGGACGGGTTAGCAAAAACATTAAATTCTCAAAACCTGAATTCATTAAAATTTAATTTTATCATAGCACAGTGTCCTTTTCATCATTTTTATAACTTGGTCTCTTGACGAATGTATTGCATCTCCAAGGGTTCTGACAATGTATTTATTTAATGTCCCCTTCCTTATTCTCTTCATCTCTAGAGGGGCTTTTTAGAGCTTCCCCTACTTGGCAGGGAGGGGGGTGGGGGCGGCGGCCCTCCGGCCAACAGTGACTTGAGCGAGAAATTTCAGCCCTGCACTTTTACCTTTTTATCCACCTTTACTCTTTTCAATCAATAGAGTAGTACAGTATTTCCAGTGACCCTAACGAACCGCTCCTGAGCTTTGTGTGCAAGTGCGAGAGCCCTCCAGTGTATTGGCCTCTGAACCCTTGACTTGTAAGGCTGGGCCGTCTTACAGTTATATGGGGCATCAGCGACGCATCGCTCAGTTTGAGAGCTGATGCCAGGCTCCCTTTTGTCCCCTCGCTCTGCTCGACTCTGGAATTCGCTCTTATCTATTGCAACTCTGCGAGGGCTGCAGATTTGCTGGCAGTTTGGTATTTTGGGCCTTTGGCTCTGTGCTCAACAATCGTGTTTAAAACTATAATCCACAACATATGCTTCCCTGTTATATTCAGATTCCAAAGAACACAGGATGAGATGTTACTATCCTTTGTGCAAGCACTTCCAAGAGTTAATGAACAGTGAGCCTGGTGAAATTTGGGGAGCGCATCGTCAGTAGTGACCCTTTGGTTCCTAGGGTGTTTCGGCCTTTCATACTATACACCCTCCCCAAAGGCGGCCAGCGACAGGGTGATCAATCCTACGCTTGCGTCCCATTCCCAATTAGTCATAGGAGTTGCCCATGCTATTTAGATGTACATGTTTTAATATGCCCAGCAGTGAGATTAACGTATTTGATATTCAATTATGCATGGGCAATTGCGGTGTTCTGATAAGGTGTTCAATACAGCCAGCAATTTATTTGCTTCATCGCATGGTATCAGGTGTTGGTAGTATGGAAAAGATACAAATTCCCATCACACCACTTTAATTTTAATTACAAGTCTATGAACAATACCTTTTTGTAAGTGTTGTGAAAATGTAAGTATAACACTGCACGGAACACCTGGATTGATGGCGTCCTCAATTTACCGTGGAAATAATAAATTTGGTGGGGGCTACTGCTCGTGTTTTAAATTAGCCGAGTCGTGCAGGAGATGATGCTTCATAAAAGTGGTTATTGTGGTGGCTGCGTGGGTCACAACTCTCGCTGTGTGCTGCATGTGGTGCCCTTTTATAGCCCAGGGGCATAAATGTGAACCAAGTTTCTGCTGGTCTCTAGCAAGGTCATTTTCCTGCAACTTCCTCATACTTCTCTCATCTCATTGTTGTCATCAATGATGTCATGAATTCTGTGTCGGTCCTGTTTTTAACCAAGGGAATGAGCGATTATTGGCATTTAACTTAAGTTAATTTAGATCTTTCATATCAAAGCAGGTACTTGTGTTTGAAAGATTAACTTGGGAGTCCTGTTTTTATTTTCAATTTCAGCTCATCACAAATGAGCTTGATTGCAAATCATCTTTAAAAAAAAACATTGCCACATCTGTTTTGCCACTGATTTCAGTCCATATATTTTTTTTTTATTTAAGTAGATGAAAACACCCTGTCAGTTAAAATTGTTTAAAATTAGATACATTATTATACAAATAATTTCAACCCATTGTCAATCCACTGCTGGATGAAGGCCTCGCCACGCCAGGTCGGTTGTGCAGGATGTTTGACCGCACTCCACCACGCTGATCAGTGCAGTTTATAGTGCACTGTGCCAATAACTGCACCACCACTCCCTCCATATTTAGTTATGGATAGCTTAAAACATAATTGCAGTTACCCACCTACTGGACAAGTAAAAGGGCTAAAGTCAAAACACATTGACAAAACATGACAATGGAGCACTTTAGCGTTGCATTTAGTGTGAATTATAAGCTAGTGGTGGAAATTCCACATTCCTATGACGAGGGCTATCCAGATGACAACCAATGTTTATTTCCCGAAAATTGATACTGAACTGTATTGGCCCCGGAGTGATGATAGGCTGAGTGAACCCAAAACCAGTCTTTTAACTTTTGAACTCGCAACCATCCAATTGTGAGAGGCTCACTCTATCACTGATCCACCACCTACCATTGCCAACAGTTCCACAGTATTCAAATCTCACATCGTCACTGTGTGTGTGTGTGGCCACTGTTTTCCAGCGCATCTGTGGTTGTGCATGAATGCCTTTTTCAGGTTCTCGATTTGTTTTTTTCGGTAAAGTCACGTAGGTAAAGAATTAAAATAATAAAATCACGACGTTTCGGGCACAACACACGCGTCCTTTTGCAGGTGGGGACACACTTAAGCGGTTGTGCTTTCGCTACGTTGTCCCCACCTGAAGAAGGACGCTTGTGTTGCGCCCGAAACGTCGTGATTTAATTAATTGTAAGCCTTTTTCAGGCCCTAGCATCGCCATTTTCCAGAGCCCCACACACTTGTCTCTCGTGCGTGCACGCGTGTGTGTGATACACTTGGGAGGAGGCAGCTTGGTTATTGTACCTGCCTTTGGATTCTGCTACGCTCGCACGCCAGGTGCCACCTTTGCACTTTGCTAACGGCCACGCCTAGCAACTACCTGGCGCCTATGCTTTAACGACATGCAAGGAATGTTTTTTTTACTGTTGTTTTACAGCGTTTGGAAATGCTAAAACCATCCGTAATGACAACTCTTCGCGCTTTGTGAGTATGCCACAATGCATCTGCACACACGCACACCGTTACCCTTTTTTTATTACAAGGTTTCAAAAATAAACTCAGAGTGAATGTACGGCAGTTCAGCTCGCGGGACATGCTCCAAAACTGGCTTTAGAGACTTTTTAAAACTAACAACCACACGTGAATACATGCAAATTAGGAGACTCATAGCATCTGGGATGCCATTGGTCAGAGTGGTTACCATGGACTTGTCTACTTGAGACATTAAACATTGCTTATCGCCACGATTAATGTACTAAGATGCAGTATCATTTCGAGGCTGTGTAAATCGTAATTGTATTGAATTAGCGGGTGGACCTCCCAGGTCACTGACATTAAAAAAGATGTGGGGCAATGGAGGAAACCACCCCTCTTCCCCAGCGATGTATCCACCACAATCCACCAATGGCATTCAAAATGCTCGAGTCTGCTGCTAGACTTCACCTCCATGAGGGTTGCCTTGGCAGTCAGCCTAGGCACCGTGCCCTCTGGCTGCATAATTATTTAGCCTGCTGATGCACCAGCTTTTACATATTTGCTTGGAGTTGATGTCACTTTTATACTACAACTGCACGTCTGTCATATTGATACGATATAAGCAGTTTTCATCCAAATTTCTGAATGAAATGTACACTTTAAATACGTTATACCTAATTTTCGTGTCATAAAATACAGCTGCCCTACCATGGTCCACTGCGATTTAAAGAGCTCTATATAATATTTGTCTATTTTCTACATATGCCTCTAAAATATATTTCAACCTTAAGCTGTATTATTCTGGCTATGATTATCAATCATACTCAACAGGGGGGCTTAGCATCCTTTCTCAATAAGCAGCGGTGTACATTGAGGGTCTGCCCAAAAAAAACCCATAGACTGGAGGTGCACAGGTTATTTGAAAAAATACATTTGACCACTGAGGCATAGAAAAGTGCTCGGTCAGTCGAGCATCAGGTCCTGCCAGGGGATGACCCCTGAAGATGTCACCACATACATACTTTTGGAGTCACCTTAATGGTATTCACTTGGGCAACGCTAGAAGGTTATTTTTTCACGAGTCATTCCACTAGTATATTTTAATTGTCAGCTCTCTGGGCCCAATGAAGTCATGATTTGGTGATTTGTTGTGTACTGGGACCATGAACTCGCAATATTTGAGAACTTGGTTTAATGTCATGTGGTTATTTGGATTAGCACCTGGCCTTATTAAAATTATGTATTCTTGTTTACCCAGTAAAGCCTCACTGAGTCTCATAACTTTTTCAAGAGGGTTCCGACCGAGGTTTTTTTCTATTAGGGGGCGATGATTGCTTTGCAGATTAAGATTGAGTAATTAAAGTTTTCAAATTTGGCAAGTGGTATTTCAGTCTCTCTGACAGGGACATCATTATAACCCCTTTGAGCCACTCGGCCACCACCCCTTTGTCATAGTTTAATGTGACATGCGCTTTAAAAGGACGGGGCAATCCGGGCCATGTCAGAGGACAGCTTTCAGCCAGCGAGTTAGGAGTGGGATTCCCTATTGAATCCGTGCCACTTGGAAGTGAATTTGAGTGAACAAAATGTTGCTGTGACACCCCAGCTAAAGGGGTTGGTTGTCACTGGATATCGACAGACGAAAACTCCACTAGACTTGTTGAAACTAAGGAGATGGTTAAAGTAGCTTCCTTCATTAATAAACAAATGTGTGACAAATAGACAACCAAGCCTCCATCTAAAAGATGCATGCCCCTCTGCCTGCAATGCTAATTTGTGCTGCGCAGAGCTGCTGTATTTCAATGCTTGCTCGTTCCAGTTTGATTCCTAATGGTGGAAGCATACAAATACGAATAAAAATGAGAAATGTAGTCAAAAATTTTTAAAATATAAGTTTTCGGTGTTGCCTGATATAGATGTATTCAGGGACCCTAGCTTTGGGGTTGGAACAATCATTGACTGATTTATTTGATATTTGGACTATTGTGCCTATGCTAATTTGAGGTTTTTTGTCCTACTTTAATCAGAATATATTTGTTGATCTGAACACATGTTTTCTCATTGTATTATTTGCTACAACTTCATATTGACTTTATTTTTTACATATCTAAATGCTGATGATGACAGCTCATGAATCCCAAATGGTGTGTGTCCCACAGGGCAAGTACATGGACATTGAGTTTAACTTCAAAGGGGACCCAGTTGGAGGCATCATCCGAAACTGTAAGCCCACAGTGCAAGCCCAACTACTTGTGTAGGCCTCGCCACGCAAACCCAGCCAGGTCACAGTTGTCTCAAAACGTGTACATTTCCAGCTTAATCATCTCGACTCTGTCTCCGTAGTCACGTGCATAAGTTGGATCTTCAAGTGAAACGTGTACGCGTGAGATATCATTGTGTCATATGAATAACACGCAACGCATACTACTAATCTCATGACAGTGTTTTATAGGTTTTAATTTTGTAAGAAAATATGATTTGCATATCATAGCTTTAAAGAAGGGTCCTGCTCACAATGTATGGCCAGAGGAAACTGAATACCTTCCCAAGTCACCGGAATGCAGTCTTGGCCCACCACACTTGGCTTTATTGAACAACAACTACATTACAATCAGCCGATTTGTATTATGTTTTATTTAATCGTTAACTGAATCATTGATTGAGTACGCACGCAATGTTCAAGTTGATTTCAGTTTTATGGAACCATTGTATACCAAACTTAACTTTGGGTCCTTATTTTATAAGGTAATTTAGAAAAAACACCCAAGCAAAGAGGAACTTTTAGACGTTAAAGGTCATTGCTGGTGAATTTGGCGACACAATCACTAAGAAGGAGCCAGAGAGCAAGGACAATTGAACCAATTCTAGATTTGAAGCTTTCGTGACTGCAAGGATTCATATTCTTAGGTGTTTTCGGTAAAGTTACGTAGGTAAAACATTAAAATTAATAAAAGTAAAATAAAATAAAAATCACGACGTTTCGGAGGCAACACAAGTCTCACTTGATGCAGAAAATCTGGCTGTGACGGTCCCAACCTGATGACGGAGACTTGTGTTGCCTCCGAAACGTCGTGATTTTCATTTTATTTTACTTTTATTAATTTTAATGTTTTACCTACGTGACTTTACCGAAAACACCTAAGACTATGAACACTTGAACCAAACCTGGCAACAAAAACTATGGTCATAAATGTTTTATGCAATCATCAACAGAGCTGATAAAATAAACATTTCTCAATGTAGAAACACAAATGCTCGAATTTATTGTGTAATTATGGCCATGTTTACTAGAGGTATTTGCCTCATAGTCAAGCGCTGCTTAAATGTAACTCTCAAGGATAGGAATCCACGGAGAGACATGCCATTCCCTACACTTATTCTGTCGAATTGAGGCATATTATTTACCTAGAAAGGCCAACGATAACATGTGTTGTCAAGCTATGAAATGTTCATAAAATGCTTTGGTGCCATCTTAGTAAACATGTTGTGTTACAATATTTGGGGTTCATAATCATGAATGTGCCTGACCCAGACTTGTGTTGATATTTCAAGACAGCCACCGCTGTGCCGCTGCTGTCATTTACGATTTGGCTTCGTTTTAATGAACAAATGTACATGAACAATTTGCTTGGTCGCTTCGTCCCACTAGTATGCACGCACACAGGAGTGATGTTGGTGTGCCCAGCCGGCATTGGCATTCCAGAGCCATGCTTCTGAGTTGTGTGATTGAGCGTGACAGCGTGCTGTGCGTGTGACAGACCTGCTGGAGAAGTCTCGCGTGGTTTACCAGCTTCAGGGGGAGAGGAACTTCCACATTTTCTACCAGCTGCTGGCCGGTGCCTCCCCAAGCCTTCTAGGTGAGGGTTAGAGGCCAACGGAGTCTCAGAGGACTACGTAAATGGACCATGAGTAACATTTGAGAAGCCTGGAATGACGAGAGCATTTTGGGGCAGTGGGAATGTGGCAAAAGGAGCATGTGGTTTTAAGTTGAAACTCTAGGAATCCAAACACTGAGTCTACTATACAGGCATCCTTCGTGTAAAGCCCCCGCCTCTCCATAGTGCGAGTTACCAGTTACGCGATTTATCTTTTATGGATACACGTCACACTTGCGCCATATGTTTGACAGTTAAGTTCTCAAGAAAAAAAGAAAAAAAATGTTAAATTTAATGAAAAATGTTTCCAATGATAAAAATTATAAGTAAAAAAAAATCTCTTTCGCAGGTTAACCAGCTAAGATTTCAATCTGACGGGGTCACCGCGTCGTGAAAGTGCTTATTGTCACGGACTGGGCGTGGTCATCTTAGATGCCTTTATTTAATTGTGCGCTGCTACAAAAATCCCACGAAAGAGTTCAAGAAGCCCTGGAGTTACTCCTTATTACGTAGCCTTTGTAATGAAATGTAAATCCAGGGATACAATAATTAAATTATAGAAATGTTCCTTCGCTAACACATCCCCTGATATAACATGTATGTCTATGGGAAAATAGGCTTCATACAGTGCGATTCGAATTACGTGCTGTTTTTCAAGTACGCATGTCGCACATTATGCTAGGGACGACTGTACTTATAAAACAAGACAAACCTTGTTCAGCTTTCGTGTCCATAGATACAACTTAATTTTAAAACTTACACACATTTCTCGTCAAGAAGTGATAAACCACCACACAAACTCCAGTCATCCTCACAGCGGCTTTTGGCTAACCATCGTGCACTTTCAGATGTGCTTCTCGGCTGTCTGGAACGCTCTTCCAAAATAAGGAAGCCACTGGACCCATGCACTTTAAAATCTAGGTTGAACTGTTCTTAGTGGTTAGTTTGTTGCCCTTCGCCCGCACCTCCAATCAGCACAGTTGGCTATGCAGAGTGCACAGTCAGTTCAACGTACATACAAGGTGGCCGAGTAGCTCAGAGGTCAGAGCACAGAACAGGCACCGTTGAGATGAGATCCTCATTTTGAATCTGTGATTAAACCGGACTTACAAGTGCATTAAGTTCACGGTCACCGGTCAGGTCACCAATGACTATCAAAAACCCCCGTGTCACTTCATTTAGTTTAATTACACTTAATTTGGCAAGGTTATAGCTCTGATATTAAAAAAATATATCACTTGCACTGTCTTGCAACAAACTCTGTTCTGCGTGGCAGGGTAGGTGGGACAGTGCAGTCCCCTGCTTTGTTGCTGTAGGTCGCTGGAAGTAATTTCTTTCTCCGGGTCGTCTGTGTTTTTCCCTCCACATTTATAAATATGTGTTTAGATTATTTGGCTGCTATACATATCTGCGTGACTAAGCCACTTGGTTGAGCTATCATTTCTGGCCAGGTCACTTCTGAAAAATAGCCCAGTGAGTTTTTATCTGGTGAAATACATTTTTTTTCTTTTTATCTTCGTGATTTGCTAATCTTTCCTATACTATTGTGTTTTTTTTTTACTTTCTGACCTGCCCCTGCTGGACATCTGTGAAAAAAAAGCTCTATAGCTTATCCGATTCCTTCAGTATAAATAAAGATGCTGGTTTCAAGCACAGTTTTGTGCCATCCCTCGTTCTCTCTGGGGTCCATTCTCGAACGTGGGAGGCTGCACTGCTCCGCACGGGTTCTGAATGTGTTCGTTGTCTTATCGCATGACGCCAATAGTATCACGTGACTATTTCCTCCAAATCTATTGATAATAACCTAACATTATGGGAAATGTTCAGGAGCAAAAGATCATGGTCGAGATCTGCTAGCCACAAGAGTGCCTGAGGAGGGAGTTCGTGTAGTTTTGCTATTCCTCCTGCATTGAAGGAGTACGGGCAGACTACAGTGGTTTACTATATGGTTCATAGTCTTCTTAACGTGGCAATTGAATGTAAGCAAATTATGATTTACTCTAAAGATGAATTCCATTTGTTAAGCAGGTTTACGATTGAAGTCGGTCTGCAGTCATCTACGGAACTTGACACCATTGTTGATGTCCTTACTGGTGTTGCGCGCTCTGTGTGTCTGCCTTCCCCACAGCATCCCTGAAGCTTCAGCAGAACCCTTCAGTCTACACCTACCTCATGCAGGGCAAAACTGCCCACGTGGAAGGCCTCAACGACAGCCAGTCCTTCCACACCGTGCAGGTGAAACTCGCTCCTGTGGTGAAACTGGGGCGTCCTGTTCCACGCAAGTTTGCGTCTGAAGGCCGAACTGTGCGACCATGTCTCGCGGCTTGGTATTAATTACGAGGAGCAGCGTGGGGTTTCAATTGTCCGGCGGATATTTGTATGTTGCCACCTACCCCGGAGTTTGAGTCTGCGTGTGTCCGTCCCAGTGCTCAATGAATACACGTCACCGATTTGGTGAAGCTGTCATTGTTATTGATTGAGAGCTGTTTTCGCATGCCATCATATTCATTATTTCAATGTAGAAGTACAAATTCTCAACACGATTTTTTATTTGATTTTAGCAAAGGGGGGAAGGCAGTCTTGATTATACGAATACATTTCCTATGTCCTCTCTTTGTCGGGGAATGTTTTTTCTCGACTCTCAAGTTATTTTGGTCGTTTATCTTCCCTCACCCCACTTCCCTTCTCTAATGCATTATTCCCCACATTAGTATGCAGCATTCAATAATTGTCTTTGTATAAAATTAGATCAACTTTCGCATGCCGGTTGAAATGTATTATATTTGTGTGCGCATGAATAATATAAAGCACTGCTAGATGAAGGTGTCCCCATGCTCTGTGACTCATGGGGGTTGTTTGAACATACTTCACCAAGCTGGTCAGTGCGGGTTTATGAATTCTGTGGGGAGGGGTGGAAATGCAAAATGTATCATGTAATAGTGTGGATACGAAACCGATTGTTTACTTACTATCGTATTAAGAGTTGCAAAATGAAGTGATATTTAACATTCGCAGTCTCCTCCAGGAGTGCCACGGCGATGTTTAACCTCTTTGTTTAACCTCTAGTTTACTTCCTCAGTTAAAACACTAAACGTCAAATGTGGCTCGATCAGTTTAAGCTGAGTCACAGCTCTTCAAACGCTGTGCCGATTAAATGTTACTTTTTGAATGTAACCTTTCAATATAAAATGTTGATGATATTCCGGCCCCACGCATGGCACCACTGGATTTCATCCTAATATTGTTATTGTGCCAGAATCCTGCCTTGCTATAATGCTTAACACACTTCAGCGGTTGAAACAATGGATCAAATTTCTCAAAGCCCCACACCTCTTATTCACCGAGCAGTATAAATGCGTATGTCGCACTTGATTAATTGGCAAGGAGAATTGGGAGTTGTAAGTCTGGCCTGCTTGGAAGAGTAGGCCAATATCCTCTGGAGGAGGTCCCTAGAGCTCCCTCTAGTGGGGGCCCTTTCCCCAGCAGTGACGTGAGGAAGACATTTCAGGGCTGCACCTTTACCACTCACCTGACCAGGTGGTATCATGGTCAGAGCACATGGCTTGCAACTGGGAGGTTGTGAGTTTAATCTTCCATAATAGAGGTTTTTTTTGGGTTAGATCGCATAAATATAAATGTATCGTTAAACCCGCCAAAAATTAGTAAGGTAAGGTTTGTCACTTAAAAAAAAACATGCCAATTCGTTCCTAGTTCAGCACACCAGTGTGCAATTCGAGTACGACGTTTTTCCATTAATTAGCTGCGTCGGGTGGTGGCGGGTTTAACGACACATTCATGTTTACACGATCTAACCCAAAAAACCTCTTATGGATAATATTGGTCACGAAAGCCTACAAGTTTAATCTTGGTTGAAGAGTCGACATACCGCTTAATCATTCTGTGGTAAATAAACAATGATCACTTTTTGGCACTTTAACAGACGTTGTTCTTTGCAGAGGCCGACTCCTAAAGGAATGTGTAATTTCCACTATTGGTTTTAGGGGCATGAATGGCTGTGAGCAATTTATGTATGTTGAACTTCTTTTGCACCATACATAGCCAATGGTGCTAATCAGAGGTGCGGGAGAAGGACAAAAATCTAAACGCAAAAAGCAGTTCTCAAGAAATTAGTTTTCAACCACCCCATGTTCATTGACTATTTGACCATGGAAAACACTGCCACTTGAACTTTAATGTGCGTGAACGTGGATTTTCTCAACAGAATGCCATGCAGGTGATTGGCTTCTCTGACGAGGAGATATCCACAGTATGGGAGGCATTGGCCGTTGTGCTCAAGCTTGGGAACATCGTGTTCGTGGACATCCCGCGCACCAATGGTCTGGACGAGTGCACCTTGAAGGAGTCCAAAGGTAGTTTGTTTGCACGGCACTTGAACACTGCCATGTTGAAGGTGTTTGGAATGACATTCAGTACACCCTTGTCGAGTCTGATGGCCCAGTTTTAGCTGATTTGATGACTACTTTAGCTTTGCTTGGCATTTGTCTACCTGAGCCTTACCATATCTGAACAAGTGGCAATGGGGAGTATCCGACTCACAATCAGAAGGGTTGCATGTTCAAGTTCTAGTTGAGGGTCATCCCAACCTGTCAGCATCTCTATTTGGTTGTCAAAACAAGGGCCGCTGTGTGTGAAGTCAACAGTGGTTGTCCCTTGCAGGCAATGGATGCTAACATTCAAAAATGTACCTCTGACTGAGGGCTGCCTATAGAGATGGGCAATGGTAAATGCTTCTTTGAGCATTTGGACACTTTTTTAAATGTTGACCCAAACCCAGCAACAGTTGAGGATAGACGAAGCGTTGCTCAGCTTGGCGTTTCCTACCCACCCCATCATTGACCAAATATAACATATTCCACCACTATTGAGTCGTGACGTAGCCAACATGGTGGCATGTAGCATCATATCAACAAGGCTCGATTATTGCAACTCACTACTCTACGGGATGTCTGGCAAAAATATTACCTTGCTGCAGTGTGTACAAAATTCCCTCACTACTCTACGGGATGTCTGGCAAAAATATTACCTCGCTGCAGTGTGTACAAAATTCCCTGGTACGTGTCGTGACGGGATTATTGCAACTCACTACTCTACGGGATGTCTGGCAAAAATATTACCTCGCTGCAGTGTGTACAAAATTCCCTGGTACGTGTCGTGACGGGATTATTGCAACTCACTACTCTATGGGATGTCTGGCAAAAATATTACCTCGCTGCAGTGTGTACAAAATTCCCTGGTACGTGTCGTGACGGGTACTGCCGAGCTGCATTGACTTCCGGTTTCCTGAACGAATACATTATAAGGTTGCACTCATTACACAAAAAGAGCTTGTCACAAATGAACCACAATACCTTGCTGATCGCGTTAAAGAGCATAAACATCACACGAACTCTGGTCGTGCTTGCAGCAGCTTTTAGCTAGCTATTGAACAAAGACGGTCACCGCATTGCGCGCTTTCAGATGCGCTTTTGTGGAACACTCACTTGAGCTATGCACTTTTAAATCTAGATAAAAAAACTCATGTCTTTATAGCTGTCTTCTTAGGTTTTTTTCGGTAAAGTCACGTAGGTAAAACATCAAAATTTATAAAAATAAAATAAAACAAAAATCACGACGTTTCCGAGGCAACACAAGTCTCCGTCATCAGGTGGGACCGTCACAGCCGGATTAGCTGCATCAAGTGAGGCAATGATTCAAGATGTAATCCCTTAACAAGCAAGTTGAGGGGGGGGGGGGAGAGGGGGAGCTAATCAGAGTGTGGTAGCCAATGAATGGAACGTATCGGGAGGGGGGGGGGCGGGGCCAAAGAGTGCACGACGGCATCGACGCTGTTGCTGTTGCACAACGCCAACGCATTGGACAGAGAGGGGGAGGGGAGGCCTGATACACATGATAGAAAAGAACAAAAATGCCCATGTTTATACCAATGCTGGCTAAACAATGAAGAGAGTACTGTTAAATACTGGGAATGTTAACACTCGGTAAAGTAAAGTAAGATAGTGCCTGTCAGATAAGATGGTCCAAAAAAGTGTAATTAAGTCTTTTTTGCGTGGTTAATAACATCTTTCCAATGATTACTAAGTTTGTACCCATCATCACGGTTGAAATCTTTATAGCTGCTTTTTGTGTTTAGTTTGTTGTCCTTCCCCCGCACCTCCGATTAGCACGGTTGGCTACACACGGTGCGAAAGAAGTTCATCGTACATACACACGCACATGAAAATCCATCCCTGTTTGGCTGAAGCATGCTCTCACTTGCATCAACATCCCCCCACGAGGCCACCAGGAGGATGATGTCCGTTGGTGCTCTTGTGCAGAATTGGATGAGGTGTGCGCTCTGTTGGGACTGGACGACGAGCTCGTTGAAAGAGCGCTCACGAAGCGAACCGTGGAGGCGAACAAGGAGAAAGTGTCGACGACGCTCAACATGGCACAGGTAAATTTCGATTTAAAGCTTTCGTCACTGCAGGGATTCATCTTCTTGGTTCTTTCGGTAAAGTCACGTAGAAGGGAAGTAATAAAATAATAAAAATAAAACAGAGTCTTGTCGCCTCCGACGGACCTGGTTTTCACCTGAGGACGGCTGCTTGCATTGTGGCCGAAACGTCGTGAGAATAATTTTATTATGTTTTATTTTTATTATTTTATTACTTCCCTTCTACGTGACTTTACCGAAAGAACCAAGAAGATGGCACAGGTACTTGAGGCCACGGCAGCCGAGTGCTATGCTCCGCGCAGTGACGGTCACGGGCAGATCCGCAAGCACGCAGGGATGAAAACTATAAAATATGAAACAAAACAATATTTTATTTTACTAGGTGAGGCCCACTGAGTTATATAACAGTTCTATTTCAGAAGCGACCTGGCCACAAATGAAAGCTCAACGAAGTGGCTTCTGATGTGGGCATTTATTGCAGCCGAATAATCTAAATGCATGTTAACTCTCAATGTGGAGGGAAAACCCGGAGGACCTGGAGAAACATCTATGCGAGCACGAGGAGAAAGACATACACACTCCAAATATATAGGTGTCAGGGTCGGGATCGAATACACGACATCCTGTATACCAGGCGAGGTAGTTAACATCTCGCCACCGTGGCACCCACTGTGGCCCTGCGCTGTGGATTTTGGTGTTGTAATAGTCTCTGTAATTGTATGTGTACTGTTTATTTGTGTGCTGTTTGAATCGCCTTCCATTGCTGTAGACTTGATGCATTTGAACAAAATTACTCCAATGGTTTTAAGTCTATCCTGACCCTGACAACTATATATATCCATTTACGTGCTTTAGAGACCCGTGTTGTGAATTGCACATTCTGTTTAACACGTAGGCTTTCACGACCAACCCAAAAAAACCCTGTATTATTTACACGATCTAACCCAAAAAAAAACCTGTATAATGAATTGCACATTGTACTTGATAATGATGATGGTTTATTGATTGTCGCCGGTGTTGATTGTGTTTCATGATCTTCTTTCACATGGCATGTAAGCAACAGTTTTTATAAATGGCATAGTTAAATGTCAAGGTCCTTCAACCAATACAAGGCAGCAGTAGATGCTTCAATATGACTGATAAAAGGCCTAGGAAGTTTGTCCGGCGCTTTTGTCTCAATGTACAGGTTTCCCTCACTCTCGGAAGGTTCGGGTTAGTGCAATTTCCTGTATATATGGCTAACCTGTTTTTACCCAATACAATAAACTATCCGTATTTGACTGATGGAACAGTTAACAGTAAAATCCTTTTGATGTATTAAACTCATCCAAATGCTAATCAGCATGCCGAGTTGTAGGCAGTGTTTAATTTGTTTTTGTAGTTTGATGTGTTCTCTCTTTAAGCGTGAAGACGTGAACACGTGATAGCTCGTTTAATCAGTGTTGGAAGATGGAAATGAGAGCTAATTCATATGATACCTGTGAACATAACTAAGTTTGTGCATATCTCTTTTGGTGTGAATCCCTTAGTCAGCTGACAATGCAATCGCATTGTAATTAACACATTCCTGTGCGTGTGTGCATCTGCTATTCGTGTGGTGTATTGACTGCAGGGAAAATATGCACGGGATGCCCTTTGCAAAAACCTCTACAACCGACTGTTCAGCTGGTTAGTGAGTCGGATCAACGAGAGCATCAAGGTAAGGGCTCCCCTTGTTGTTCTCCGATATCTCCTCTTGTGTGAATGAACAGTAATGGACAATTCTATTGGTCAGATACCTAATGAATGACACTATCGTCCAACGTGCTGAATGTGTCACCAAAGTCACTGCCCTCAGCTATGCAACAATTCCTCAATGCCACGCTGTTGTGTGAAGCTTTTGCATTTAAGATGGTTCTTCAATGACCAATTGAAAACACATATTTTATATTTATATAGCGCCTTTATCCAAGGCGCTTTACTCGGGTTATGCGTGGTACAATGAGAGTAGCTACAAGTTTTATGGTGAATAGGGATGGGTTATGAGGTGGCAGGTTAGTGGGTGCGGGAATTACCGGGGTACCTCTGGATTGAGGGATGGGACAGGGAGAAGAGCTGAGTCTTGAGGGAGGAGCGGAAACTAGACGGTGATGGTTGCTTGCTGCTTAATGTGGAGGGGAAGTTTGTTCCATTGCAAGGGGGCAAGGAGGGTGAAAGGAGCGGAAACGGGGATTGTGCACAAGGAGAGGAGGGGGCGGTTAGGAGTAGTAGGAGAGATTGAGAGCGGAGCGGGCGGGAGGGGACGTAAAACGAGACAAGGGGGAAGCGATATACTGTGGGGCATATAAGTTGGTTTATGGATATATATTTATTAGTTTTTATTGCTCACACTTGTGGGCCTAATGACTGCATTCATTATCTTGAAGCAACATCGATGCTGAAAGGACATTGTACATCTATTCATACTTCATCCAGCAGTCTCTCCCTGCTCAAATAAACGAAGTGGCAGCATTGTATTGGTGCTCTTTAGTGAATGTTGGTAATTCCACATTGTTTTATGTTTGTTGTTCATGTTTGATGTAAAATCGAAAACAGAAACAACTTATTATTGGCAAGTTGGTTTCTTCTGGTAAAAAAAAACCCCTCAACATTTTAAATAAACGGGAAATAATAAAATAATAAAAATATTACATAATAAAATTATTCTCACGACGTTTTGGCCACAACGCAAGCAGCTGTACATAATAAAATAATTCTCACGACGTTTCGGCCACAACGCAAGCAGCCGTGCTTGCGTTGTGGCTGAAACGTCGTGAGAATTATTTTATTATGTTTATTTTTTATTATTGTATTATTTCCCTTCTACGTGACTTTACCGAAAGAACCAAGAAGATGAATATACGTAATCCCTGCAGTCACGAAACCTCCAAATTAAGAAGATGAATCCCTGCAGTCACGAAAGCTTTAAATCGAAATTTTAAATAAAGTAAACTTACAATCAATGGCGGAGCCAGGATTTTCAGGTAGAGGGGGGCAACCCCTCCAGCAATGAAAAATGAGGAGTTGTTAGTAAGTAAGGACTTGTCCCTTGCTTTTTATTCGATGCATGTGCGGCGATAGCGCAGCCATCGATCGAGGGTCGAATTCGAACCGCGTTGTGTGATCGGCATCGTGCTCGCTGAAGGTGAATGAATGCCTTCAGGGAAGTCGTGTCTTGTATAAGCAACTGCGCACAATTCTGTGAGTCACTTATAACTGCTTTTCCATTACTTATTGCCAATTATGGACTCAGACTATTGTCCTATCATCTCATAGAGTCCCTGGCACATAATAATATGCTACACAGTGGCAGTGGGGGTCGCAAAATGCCGATTTATTACTAATAAACCCCAATGATCCGATCAAAATTAGGGATTTCGATCGGATCATTGGGGGGGCACGTGCCACCCCACCCCCACTGGGTCCACCAGTGCTTGCATGATTTATTTTTTAAATGTTGCTTGCTCACTTACAGCTATGTGTGTATGTGTGAGACATTTATTGGAGTGAAGCCATTTAAAACACAATTTTACCTGCAGTGCGGTATGTGAGTCGACCCACTTTTGGACTTGCGTGTCAAGGTTGCTCGATATATAAAGATTGTGTACCTTGAATTGGCTGGAGGTCACTGTCAGTGCTCGCATGAGACATCTTAATCATGGAGTTAGGTCATACACCTTTGCACAAGCTCAGAAAATGCTGATGCACTTATAATTATTTTTCTTTTGCATTTTACTCCTTCCATCAGCATCACTCTCATTAAAAGTTTCCTAAAAATTAATTATTTTCTTGAAATATGATGGGTTTTTTTGTGTGCCAGTAAAATTACCACTGCAAATTGTGGTTTCCTGCATCTTTTAAGTGACCTACTGATTCAGCAAAAACGGCATGTGATGTCTCTCAAGGTCACAGTGTGATTGCCTTGTATCCATGTTTATTATCATAACTAATGATTGTCTTATCTTTTTAAGGTCAAGTCTAAAATCAAGAAGAAGGTGATGGGAGTTCTGGACATATATGGCTTTGAGATATTTGAGGTAATGTGGCATGTGCTATTTAAAATATAATTAAGGTGGCGAGTGTGAGATAGCTCAATGGCGCGGCAGAAGGGTGAAATTATTGGTTTTAATTCCGTGCCTTATGGAGGCTGTGGCTGACGGGGCAGATGTCCTGGGTGAAATGTTGCACTGTACAAGGGTCGAGCTGAGATTTTTGCACGTCTGCAGGAATAGCGTGTGCGTGTGTAATTCATGCATTGGCAGTGAAAGAAGGCTTGTGCGTGTTCGTGTCATGTCAGTTAATGTGAAAAGTGCAATGTTATAATTTGTGGCAATAGGGATATGTACACAAATTTGAACTAACTAATAGTCTTGCTAAACTGCACAACTCGTAGTGTGAGTAGTATTAATTACACTGATGATTTGAGAATGTAACTGAAATACTGTCTTCTTGTGACAGGCAAAAAATAAGAACAAGCTATATCACCAACAAAATGTTTGATACAAAGTATTCGAAATAGTACATTGCTAAATATAATGTAGCCAGTGAAGATGTCTCATGGTACATTTGTGTAGTCACCAAATCTGACTTCACATCATCTTTTGTAATTTAATTCAGGGATCCTACTTGACAAACCATTTTATCTGTGTAACATCATATGTAAACATCCCCATTGTTCACAAACAGAGTATGCAAACCAGAACAAATATTGGATGCGAGGTTCCAAAGTCAGGGTGGTAATTGATTTTTCCATGGATACCCCACAATATCCTGAGGCTGTGTGCTTCAGATAGTTAGTGATGGGCAAATCGCAGGTCACACAGCCCCCAGGCCCATCATATATACGCCTCATTCTGAACTTGATACCGTTGCACTGTTTTCACTACAAATACTGATAAGTGTTGTAATTAATGTAGCGACGTGTCTTGTAAACAATGCCTGGGTTGTCACGGTGGCGAGATATTAACTACCTCGCCTGATATGCAGGAGGTCGTGGGTTCAATTCCGAGCCTGATGCCTGAATATATTTGGAGTTTGCAGGTCTCTCTCCCCGTGGTTGCGTGGATTTTTCTCCGAGTCCTCCGTTTTTTCCTTCCACATTTAGAAACATGCGTTTAAAGTATTTGGCTGCTATAAATTTCCACGTGATGAGCCACTTCGTTGAGCTTTCATTTGTGGCCAGGTCGCTTCTGCAAAATAGTTGTATAGCTCAGTGGACTTTACCCGGTAAAATAAAATTGGTTAGTTAGTTTTAAGAATGGTGAAATCGATAACACGAGCTGTCAGCAACAGCTCAGGAATGTTAATAATGGAGGGCAAAATGACTTGTAAAAATATAAATGCGTTATGAGCCATATGGGTGTATTTCGTCAGACTTTTGGCCACTGCTGTCATTGTAATCAAGTAGATTAACAGTATTTGCACAACAGGGACAGTTATTAAATCTACATATCTATATGTTTTGTACTCTATAGTTGTTTCGTTGCTGCAATTTACATGTTTACAAAGGGTACATCAAAATAACAAAACATTACTTGTAAACACAAGTAAAATGACACTGACTTTGTCTAACCTGGTCGCTCCCAGCCTCTCTGAACCCACGAACCATTGTCAACCCCCAAACAATAGTTATTGGGCCAGCATGCATCAATGACCATAGTTTTCAAAATGAAAACTACTCTAAAACGTAACCTGCAACAGTTCTGCAGGCCGTTTCCCACTGCCTTGCAGGCCACGGGTTAGAATCTACTCTTCTAACCTGAGGTGACTCTCGCTGTACCTACTAGTTATGGGTGTTTTGTGTTATCCTCCAATAGTGTCTCGGTTTTTCACTTGCACATTTGCACTTCTGCAGCCCAAATAAGTTATCTATAACGGTATTAAAGATTTTATATGTACGTACGTATGTTGAACTTCTTTCGTAGCGTATGTAGCCAACCGTAATAATTGGAGGTGCGGCAGAAGGACAACAAACTCAACACAAAAAGCATTTATAAAAAAATATCTAGTCAAGTTAATCTATTTTTGGTTAACATGTTGGTGCCTTTCTGGCACAAATATGCCATCCAAAGTGCCATCGCATCATTAAACATAAAAACAAACACTTATATACAGTCACGTAGAAGGGAAATAATAACATAATAAAGACCCAAGAATATGAATCCCTGCAGTGACGAAAGCTTTAAATCGAAAATGATATAGGAGTTTAATTATTTTAAAGCAAATGTTGGCTGTGAGTTCTTTGCTGTTTATTTAATAAGAATCTACGTTTAGTTGCAAGCAATTACCTCGATGGCACCAGGGGAGAACTGTTGTTGTAGAGTATGGATAATCTATACCAAAAAGGGTAGTTAGAGACCGTGAATTGGTGGAACACAATGTCATCTTCACAGTTGATGGTGCTTTTAATGTTTAAATAGGAAGCTTGCAGTTAAATATACATTAAATAAGCAATGATTCTAAAACAAATGTGGTGGATTGAGGAAGTTGATGTTGAGCTGGGTTGAGACAAATGCATTTGCCACTTGCTGAACGTGGCTGACAAAGTGCACAGGATGTGCTGCTCCAGTCACTTTTCCTGCCTGAGTGAGATCCCAGCCTTTTCCATGGCTACGTGGAAAAAATGTTGTCAAGGTCAGTTATGAGTAATAGTTTTAGGATATTTGCTGTTACCGCAAAATAAATTGATGAACAATAGAATGTCAGATTTGACTGGAACCACTTCCAAATATACTGTATTTTCCTTATGAAATGAGCTGTGATGCAGCCTTTTTGCAATGATGATGTTAGTTGAGGTGCTAGTTAGTTGAAGTGCAAAATTACAAGCTATAAAACATGCATTTTGGGCATCACAAAAAGACTTATATTTTAATAAAAATGTCCAGAGATTACATTCACAATATATTTGTTCGTTTGCTTCTCAATCCTCTTGTCCTGGTGAGGGTCGAGGCGGCAGCATGTTGAGTAGTGGTGGTCCAGACCTCCCTTTCCCTGGCGACGGACTCTATAACTACTACACTACTATACACCACTATACACAGACTCTAGAACTACTACACTACTATACACCACTATACACAGACTCTATAACTACTACACCACTATACACCACTATACACAGACTCTATAACTACTACACTACTATACACCACTAGACACAGACTCTATAACTACTACACCACTATACACCACTAGACACAGACTCTAGAACTACTACACCACTATACACCACTATACACAGACTCTAGAACTACTACACTACTATACACTATACACATACTCTAGAACTACTACACTACTATACACAGACTCTAGAACTACTACACCACTATACATCACTATACACAGACTCTAGAACTACTACACTACTATACACAGACTCTAGAACTACTACACCACTATACATCACAATACACAGACTCTAGAACTACTACACTACTATACACAGACTCTAGAACTACTACACTACTATACACCACTATACACAGACTCTAGAACTACTACACCACTATACACAGACTCTAGAACTACTACACTACTATACACCACTATACACAGACTCTAGAACTACTACACCACTATACACCACTATACACAGATTCTAGAACTACTACACTACTATACACCACTATACACAGACTCTAGAACTACTACACCACTATACACCACTATACACAGACTCTAGAACTACTACACTACTATACACCACTATACACAGACTCTAGAACTACTACACCACTATACACCACTAGACACAGACTCTAGAACTACTACACCACTATACACCACTATACACAGACTCTAGAACTACTACACCACTATACACCACTATACACAGACTCTAGAACTACTACACTACTATACACCACTATACACAGACTCTAGAACTACTACACCACTATACACCACTATACACAGACTCTAGAACTACTACACTACTATACACCACTATACACAGACTCTAGAACTACTACACTACTATACACCACTATACACAGACTGTAGAACTACTACACCACTATACACCACTATACACAGACTCTAGAACTACTACACCACTATACACCACTATACACAGACTCTATAACTACTACACCACTATACACCACTATACACAGACTCTATAACTACTACACCACTATACACCACTATACACAGACTCTAGAACTACTACACCACTATACACTACTATACACAGACTCGAGAACTACTACACCACTGTACACAGACTCTAGAACTACTACACCACTATACACCACTATACACAGACTCTAGCTCTTCCTGCAGATTTCCCAGGCGTTTCCAAGCCAGCCAAGCGACATGGTCCTGCCAGTGTGTCCTGGGCCGGTCCCGGGGTCTTCACTCAGTGGGACGTGTCTCGTAGAGTTCCAGGGGTAGTCTATTTGGGGTGTATCCTTATCAGGTGCCTCAACCACCTCAACTGGCTCCTCTTGTTCTGGAGGAGCAGCGGCTCGACTCTGAGGCTCTCCCGGATTACCAAGCTCCTCACCCGATCATGGAGAGTGAGTCTGGCAACCCTACGGAAAAAAACTTCATTTCGGCCCCTTTTCCCCTCTATCTCATTACCCAAAGCTCATGACCATAGGTGAGGGTAAGAACATAGATCGACCTGTAAACCGTGAGCTTTGTCGGAGAACTCAGCTTGCACTTCACCACCATGGAGCGGTACAGCGCCCGCAACACCGCGGACGCCGCACCGATCCGCCGGCCGATCTCCCACTCTTTGTTATCGTCACTCGCGAAGGAGACCCCGAGGTACTTAAACTCCTCATCTAAGGGCAACTGGAGAGCACACTTCACCGTCTCCCGGGAGTGAACCATGACCTCAGATTTAGAGGTGCTGATCCTCATCCCAGCTGCTTCACAATCGGCATCAAACCGTTCAAGTGCACGCTGGAGATCACAGACTGATGAGTCAAAGAGGACAACGTCATCTGCAAAAAGCAGCGATGCCACCTCCATGCCCCCTTACTGGATCCTCTCTATACCTTGGCCGTGCTTTAACATCCTGTCCATGAAAATCACAAACAGGAGTGGAGACAAAATGCACCCTTGGCGGAGTCCAATTGTTATGAGTTAAATGCAGCACAATATATGTTCTTCAAATGTAACAATAATTGTGAATGACAAATGCTAATGAACCCTTTCCCCTTCCGATGACGTACGTGTAAGCCATTATATATATTTTCTTGGGCTGTTACAAACAAGCTTACGCTGGAATAATGCAAACGCTCATGCTTGGTTTGTCTGTTTTTAGTTTACATCTCAATCGCCAGATACCACAGCAGAGAAATATCTTAGTCAATGTTAATATGCCCCCTCATTCTTAATCGCTATGAATAAAGTATACATTTTCTGACATGGGCTCAGGGGGGGTAAGTCAAGATTACCGTAACTTTCACATTCGTTTCTAAGGCTGCCCCCACTCATGCCCCTTTCAGCTTGGACCAAGTTGTAAAACACATTTGTGCCACATTGATTTCGAGAAGCACACGTGCCTGGTCCCCTGTGTAAATTGAGACAATGTTTTGACACTTTCTAAGCAAGCTGTTACAGCCATGCCAGATGCTGCGGGTGGTAGCTGCAGTGTTCTTTTATGCCATTTAAAGCTAAAATACTCTTTGGTTCTTTCAGTATAGTCACGTTGGTGAAAAAAAAAGAAAAAAAAAATAGAAATAACTAAATTAAATCACTACGTTTCGATTGCAACACAAGCAATCATCATCAGGTGTGGAAATCACAGCTAGAATTTGTTTTTCTAGTGTTGCAATCGAAACGTCGTGATTTAATTTAGTTATTTCTATGTTTGATTTTTATTTATTTTTAATTTTATTCTTACTTTAATCTAAATGATTATTTAATTTTTTTCACCTACGTGACTTTACCGAGAGAACCAAAGAGTATGGATCCTTGCAGTCACGAAAACTTCAATTATAGAAAGCTAGAATACTTTATAAATATAGTTTTTGACCATGGAATCTTCATAGTAATCTATTTTTCCAAACAGCCAGAAAGGCATTTAATATCTATTCATAACGGTTGCTTTACTGTTACTTGGTAATTACGCATATTAAATGGAATAAAGATTGCCACATTTACTGCTTGTGAGTTCTCTATAGTATAGTTAAGAAAATAAAAACATATAATAGTGAAACTAATAACTTCAAGCAGTGAATTAGAATAATTATTCAGTTATACGTTATGCCCATGTGTGATGCCACAGGCCCACATCCCAATACTGTACTTGAATATTTTCACCATAGAAAACAATGACGGAAATGGGAAAACCACTAAATCAGTTTGTCCTCTGTAAGAACATGTTCCATACGTATCTTTCTCCGCGAGTGTCCCATAAAGAGTTGCCTGTCTGTGTCTAATGTTCATTTGACAGCTGCAGGTATCGTGCGATGCAAGCCTTCGACTTGGCTGTTTTCCAAAAGGTCCATAGGGGTCACCTGTAATTAAGGCTCTGTTCGCAGTGGTTTCATTCAGCCCTATTTTATGATAAAGGAAATTCCATCGAATCCCATGGAATTTCCTGCACTCAGAGTAATTGTAGCTTGGTATTTGTTGGTGAGTAATGTCCTACTTTCTGAGTAGGCAAGTTGGCTCCCATTTGTCTGAATTGTTGTACGTTGCTGTAACGTATTAACCATTCACCGTGCCCGCTGCAAACCCATTGTATATTTAGCAAAGAGTCAATGTGTTGAATGGATGTGCGAAAACTCTCTGTATTTTATGTTTTTGTTTAAAAGATAATTGTGCGAATGTGTAAGGAAAACCTGCACACGTGCACTATGCAGTTGGAGGAGTGTGTTTCGTTTGTGCTAGCTTGGCCCCGTGGCTACAAAAAAAATAGCCAGTAGTTAAAGGATTGATGTTGCATTATATCAAAATGTTAACGTTCCAATGAATTAGTGTTGAATGCCTTGATGGTGAAAGATGAGTGAGTATTGTAAAAGTGTGGTGTTACCAATCCTTCAAGTGTTATGCACAGTTTATCAGCACAATGGTGACCCCCTTGATTGATAGAGCAAGGTTTTATATATATAGGATAAAACATATATCCGAGTGTTATACAAAGCCACCATTTATACTGCGTTGCACGCATAATGTTGTGAGGCTAACGTGGACACGTGGACAGTGTGGAGGAGTGTGAGTGTGGTTATTGGTCCCAGATGTGCCACTGCATTACATTTGGAACTCGGTAGTTGGTGTCAGCGCTCGCATAGGAACACAGGGAGACATGTCTGGGTGTATGAAATCAACTTCATTAAATAAGTGTATTTGTCTAGCAGTCAAAAAAGTAAAGTTTACAATTCAAGAAACATTTGCAGAATTTAAGTAAACTCATTGTTGTACTTATTAATACCTAAGAAGCATACAAAGGATACCAAACATTTATTATTTGCATTGTGATCGTTTTCAAAGGAAATGCTTTTTTAAAGTTTTATTTTACTCGTTTGTACCCATACTTCAAAACGTATTCCAAACATAATTTAACAGCATGAATCAGATAGGCATGATGGTGATGTCACTTATTGTATTATAAAATCTATTATATTTTAATATATTATGTGCAATTGAACGCAAACATTTCAGAAGACATTTCAATACCTCATTCCGGTTACATGCTAATTTCCGTTGTGGCTGGGTTGGTATTCTTGTAAAACTAGGGTTTAAAAAAACACAATAAATATGTTAATTAAATAAAACGTCATGCCCTCCATAAACTTGATAACATTCCTTTAATCAACACACTGCAGTGTTTTGATGAGCCAATGACATATGCAGAACATTTAGAAATCGTGACTAGCCAATTGGTGTGATTGAGATTAAATTGTTTTTAAATTACTATATATCTCTAACTACCCTGCACATTTCTGGAAACTTTGCAGTTTAAAATACACTGTGACCTTGCCCCAGTAATATAATTAGACTACCCATGCTCTACATAATGCAATACCAGATCTAACCAGGTCACAGTCACACAGACGATAGTTTGAGTAATGTAGTGATTATAATTATTTAAGTTAAGGCACGGCATCCACCCAAGTTGATGGAATTTAGGAACTTACTGCAGATACCATTTTCTATGCCCATTGGTACTACATTTTCATGAAGGTTAATCGAATGCATTTTGACACCCAAAATGTTTATGATTGGGTTTTATAATTTGATTCTGATCCCATCTGACAAATACCCATATGCAGTATATGTATGAACATAGTTGTGTGGCTGTTGAATGTCGTCCTTTATTGGTCATCAGTCCAGTAGTGGGGGGAGGGGTGGGGCATCTTAACTGAGGCAATGCAACACGAGATCTCTGAGTCACTGGGGCCCACTAGCACTTGATAGGAGCTGCCAATAAGCTAAACGCCCCGCTGCTCCGTGTCCTGCACTGCTCACTGACTTGCCCTTCTCAGAATGTGATCCATGCAGGTGGAACCGATCACACATCTGTTCGTCCCGCCATACTTCCTGGCACGACTTTCCATCTTATACAGCGTAGTGCGTCACTGTTTTGTCTGCAGCCTATCCATCCATTTAGATTTTGACGTATAGAGTGTCACTGGAATTCTGTACCCGTTTCCACGTGGATGTTTTTTTGTTGTTTCATTAGTGTATAACTGTTTTGGGGGGGTTGTTCTTGTATACTTTGGATGTTAGATACAAACTCAAGAGAAATCGATAAGCATAGCCACGATTTGTTTTTAAAAGTAACTTGCAAATCTTATACTTGTATATGTACAATCTGTAGATCTGCCCATGTACAGGTAGTCCTCTACTTACGATGGAGATGCGTTACGATGACCCCATCGTAAGTCAAAAATATCGTAAGTCGATGATTGCCCAGCCTGCCCAGGAGTCTTAAAGAATGGTGATAATTTAGCAAAACAGACCAATTTACAGTAAAATATATACTGTATGTATTTATTAATTGCAATACTGTATTGCACAGTAAAATGTAAAGTAAAAAAAACAAGGTCAATTCTTAGCCTACCTATATGAACTGCAATTTCATAGAAAATGTTTTCAGGAAACAATCCTATCTGTTATAAAAAGCATGCATTGAACGTATCGTATCGTGGTAACCCTTAAATGAAATCGCTAAAGCTACGTATCGTACATGAATTGAACGTATCGTAACGTATCATATTGTACTGTATCATGAATTGAACGTATCGTAACGTATCATATTGTACTGTACTCACCAAGATTCTGTCCGTCGTCTGCATACTTGAACGATGTTAGTTTGTTGATGGCAATTTTGTCGTATCGCTATCGCCATCGTAAGATCGAAATATCGTAAGTCGGACCCCATCGTAACTCGTGGACTATCTGTATAGTGTTATTACCGTACATTAGACAAATTTCTGTTAAAATTGAGATGATGATAATGATGACCGTGACAGTCATGATTATTAATTTCACTGTGACCTGCATTTAAATGTCTTTTCCATTTGTGCATTTTCAGGTGAACAGCTTTGAGCAGTTCATCATAAACTTCTGTAACGAGAAGCTTCAGCAGATCTTCATCGAGCTCACCCTCAAGGAGGAGCAGGAGGAGTACATACGAGAGGTGAGGACCTTCCCGTGGCCGCCCGTCTGTCTGTCTCCTCCATCCCTGCACCGTCTCTTCTCTGCCTCACTAGTATAGCCTACTTGCTAGCTCTAGTTCTTTCCTGTGGAAAGTTGCTACATTTTTCACATCAACCAAAACATAATTTCCATTAATTTGCAGCCTGTTCTGTGCATGTTCGTGCTTCAATAAACTCCTTGAAAATCTTTTTTTTTTAAAACAACGATTTTATTAACAACTTCGTTCGAGAGGTGAGGACCTTCCCGTGGCCGCCCGTCTGTCTGTCTCCTCCATCCCTGCACCGTCTCTTCTCTGCCTCACTAGTATAGCCTACTTGCTAGCTCTAGTTCTTTCCTGTGGAAAGTTGCTACATTTTTCACATCAACCAAAACATAATTTCCATTAATTTGCAGCCTGTTCTGTGCATGTTCGTGCTTCAATAAACTCCTTGAAAAATTATTTTTTTTAACAACGGTTTTATTAAAAACTTCGTTCAATTCACGGTCGAGCAGTTCGTCAATGGCACCTGAGACACGCGGCGCCTGCCGTTTCCACAGTTGAGGGACCGCAGCGTTTTTGACCTACACAAAAATAGATTCTTCTATATGTATAAAAGGGAAATCTGTGGATGTGTGTCTGTTCAAAATGTTTAGCATACTTCCCGACGTGCAACAAACTTGAAATTTGCCATGTGGGTACTTTCCAGACTGTACACCATGCAAACATTATGAAAATTAACTTTTGGATTTTTTGGGGAGGGGGGGGGCGCAATAATGCAGAGATTTTGCACGGCAAGTGAGCTGTGACGTCAAATCTGTCATTGGACCCGCGCATGTGGAAGCGTAACGCGTTGTAGTGTAGTGGTTAGCGCGCCGCTGCGCTACGAACCCGGCGACCCGAGTTCTATTCCCGCTCACGGCCACCACCGGTGACGATTATTTGAACCGGTCCTGGGCCTCCCCTAGGTCGACTCAGCCTCAAACGAGTAACTGGTGTGGTGTGTGAACATCGCCACTGGGGAGACAAAGGCGGCCGGGCGTGGTGAATCCAAGTCCTGGGTGAAGCCAGGTAGTAAAGCTAGAAATTAATAAGCCGTCCATACAAAAATTATAATTGCTTGAAAGGAGCCAATTAATTGATGATTTAATGCAGGCATGCATTGTCACCGGATCTGAGTACGTGTGCAAAATTTCGAATTTATTGGACAACAGGAAGTGGACTAACTTTTGATTACAAGATTTGACCACGACAGACACAGGTGAAGTTAAATAAAGCCGTTGAAAAAAAAGAGGCAATTTAATTTTCACAAATATGCTACTGTTAAAATAAATAGATATAGGCAACCGCAGAGCTTTTGAATCATAAAAAGAATACCAGCACAACTTTTTTGTGCTACAGACTGCCCCGTTAGTTAACTCATCTTCTGCATTCAGGGATTTTAGGAGAGTATTATTACATACTGTCAAAACTTAAGTGATTCATTGATACAACAATATACACAAGAAAGAATGGAACATTTTTTCAAACGCGTAACATCCAGAAATGTTGATGTTTACATTCACAGAACTTTTTCAGGTACTGAATAAAAAAACTATCTTTAGCATAATTACATAAGATACCCAACTTCCTCTAAAGCTACATTATCCATAATAGGGGGGAGGGGAAGGTTGGGTTAGATCGCGTAAATAATATTGGTCGTGAAAGCCTTCGTACGCTACATCATTTTACATGATGTAAGTGCATAAAAATAACATTACATGCACACCATCATCATATTACATGGACACCATCATCATAAACAACTGTCGGAAGGATGTTTGTTGGTCTCTTCCTGAGAACAAAGTTTCTTGAATTTGAGAAGAACTTGCATTTTCTGCTGTCAAGGTCAGTTTCTCCCCTTGTGAGCGTTTATAGTTGTCCTTGTTTTTTTACTGAGGGACACGTCTTGTGCTTTGGCCATATGCTCGCCTCAATGGAATTGGGCATACACCACAAGCTGGGCAACATCATTAATATTCAAGCTGCCACGCCACGGTATGGCTTTAATGCCCTTTATGGGCAATTAAGCCCTGTTTGGAGACTGTTAAATGAAATTATGACTGTAGCGTTTCTTGCCATTGGGATGTGTATGATGGCTGTATTTGTATCGATTATTTTGGTTGACTGACTTCGCCAGAGCAAACCTGGTGTGTCTGTTGCAGTTATTGTGTAGAAAGTACACATTTGTTGTTTTCATGAATGCACTATGTTCTACCGTATTTGTCAGAAATTACACTTGCAATATGTACAGTAGCACATTCTATCTTGTAGTGTACGAGTTTTGGGTGATTGCTAAAAACTCGCTGTGCATCAATCAGTGAGTAGCATTCATGGTGTGCATTGGCAATCAATTGTTTAGGTTATGTACAATAACCTTTTTGCTGAATAAGTCTGTTAAGTGCCAGAGTAAGTCATGATGGCTTACTCTGGCAACCCCATTGCTTCTTTGAGCAGACAGACATGGTATAAATGATTTGAAGAAAGGTGCAACCCAAAAAACAAAACGTCTCTCACACACACTCACACGTAGGATGTGTGTCCTAGACCATGGTGACATTAGCATGGCAGCCTCATATCACAGTGATGTCTCTACAGCAGTGGCGGCTCCTGAAAAATCTCTCAGGGGGGGCAAATGTCTGGATGATTGATAAGGATAAGGTCCACCCATGCAATGGATAAATTAACAGCTTAAGCATGTAAAGGCAACTTCACTTCTTTAATATTAATGAAAAATAAAGTGACTCTTACAATACATCTTGTTTGTTTCTACACTCACAATTATTACAATCCACTCAGTTTCTTTTATTAAAGATTCCACTAGGTGGCGACAAATAATATTGTTGACTGAAACGTGCTCACTTAAAGTCTTAAGGTCTTAAAGTCACTTTATTGTCAAGTGTGTTACATGCATGACATACAACACAGATGAAATTACAGTCCTCTCTCTTGGTCCCACGGTGCAACCAAGCAATTAAAAAATTAATCACAATTAACAGACATAAATAAACAATAAACAATCGGCGATCAACACAAGATAAATAATCAAAAACGTAATAAACTTAAAATAAACAACAGTCAAGAATTTTTAAAATGTAAAATATTATTTAAATAAAGTATTTAAAGAAATAAGATATTTAAACCAGTGTGGTAGTGCGATGTAGTGCAATGTGCAGTCCAGAGATCAGGATGTACGAGTGAATGTGTGTGTGGGGGATGGGGTCAGGGGGCAAAGGGGGGTGGGTGGGCAGAGGGGGGGAGTGATGGTAGAGCAGGGAGGGAGTTGAGTCTCCTGACAGCCTGGTGAAAGTAACGGTCTTTGAGCCTGCTGGTCCTGGCTGGAAGACTCCGCAGTCTCCTCCCTGACGGCAGCAGGCTGAAGAGGCTGTGAGATGGGTGGGTGGGATCACCTGCAATCTTGATTGCTTTGCTGGTGATGCGGGTGTTATAAATGTCCAGAAGAGGGGGGAGAGAGACACCAATGATCCTCTCAGCTGCTCTCACTATGCGCTGCAGAGTCTTGCGGCAGGATACGTATGATGACGTAAGCACGTTAGGGCGAGCCCTCCCGGAAGCCATAGAGAATGCATTGCAGCGCCCGCCGTTCGAAAAAAAACATCTTTGAATGTAAGTTTATGGGAACACTCTGGGCGATTCTCAGCCAGAGTGAAATCGCCCAAAAAGAGGCGGTACTCCACAGAACGTGACATGACGCTGATTGGACTATATCCAGAGGCACAGTGACGGCTAGCGTGACTCTGTGGTTTAATGAGATTGGTGGTGCGTCGCCCAATCGCCCTAATGAAGAAACCGCCCCTGCTCTACAGCACTCCTGAAAGTCAACCTAAACCCGCCCCCCACCCCCTTTGTCTTTCTTGTTGACGAAGTTTACAATATGGAACATGCAGCCTCGATGCGCATCTACGAGACGGGAGATATTGGTGGTTTTGAGTGGCTCCTACTTTCGACATAAACAATCAACGCGTCTGCTTCATCGCACGACTTGACACCCTTCCCATTTTCCTGCTTAACTGCTGCAGTTTATGAGGGAGGTTGTTCTAATGTTGGTCGTTTGCTTTCCTTCTTTATTCTATTCATCCGTCTGTTTACATGTGTATGTATTTTACGTATGGGGAGCGGTCGTGCAGCGGTTAGCGCACTGCGCTATGAACCTGTCGACCCGGGTGCAATTCCAGCTCACGGCCAACACCAGTGACGATTTTCTGAACTGGTCCTGGACATCCCCTAAGTCGACTCAGCCTCAAATGGGTACCTGGTGCAGTGTGTAAACATCGCCACTAGGGAGACAAAGGCGGCCAGGCGTGGTGCTGGCCACCCACCCCCTCGTGTGCTGTGCCGGCCTTCATAGGTGCTCGCTCACAGCACTTCCTGCTGCGGGCTGTTAAGGCTGTCTGTGTTTTTTTTCTAGCCCTAAATACACAAGTAGACACATGTTATTGATAGAAGTTAGATAACCTTGTAACACCACTGACACAACTATTGTTTGTGTTGTGTTCATTGAAAGATTTTAGTAATGAAAAAAGTCATTGTCACGTCTAACTTTCTGGGCTCTCTATTAATAAACTATATTTTTTAAAGTGATGTTTGGCATTCGCTGTGAGCAGAATGTCAGACTCCAAATGAATAATATACACAAATATCGCCCAAAGTCTGGTTCTTTAAAATAATAAGACATTTGCTCGCGTTTATTTTTTCTTGTGTGTTGCAGGGAGTGAAATGGATCCAAATAGAATACTTCAACAACGCCATCATCTGTGACCTGATTGAGAACGTAAGGGTGTACGTGTGCGGTAACTGTGGGGCACCTTGTCCGCTGCGTTGGTGCACTGTGTGCTTGCGTGTGAGCATGGGCGAGTGGTAGTCTAGTGGTGTGTGTGTGAGCGCACACGCGTGTGAGTGTGTGTGGGGAGCGGTAGTGTAGTGGTTAGCTCGCTGTGCTACCAACCCGGTGACCCGAGTTCGATTCCCGCTCACGGCCAACACCACTGACGATTATCTGAATCAGTCCTGGGCCTCCTCTAGGTCGACTCGGCCTTAAATGAGTACCTGGTGCGGTGTGTAAACATCGCCACTAGGGAGACAAAGACGATCGGGCGTAGTGCTGGCCACCCATCCCCTCCATTACCGTAAGAGCCTTCATATTAGCTACTCGCTAACAGCACTTACCCCAAAAGTCTGTTAAGGATATACGGTGGTTGTGCTAAAAAATACATCTCTGGTATGCAAATGCATGCCTTGTAGTAAAGTACTCCATGTAGAAAGCGGGATTCCACATCAAGTATAGTAATTATAAGTAAGTAATTTAACGAAAGAAGGCTTTTGAGATACGATAAGCCGAAAGAAGGAAGCCATGCTCTGGAAAGAGATTCGATGGAGGGCATGAATTATGGACAACGGATGAGAGCACACGTGAGAGTGAGAGTTTGGGATGACGCTGGGAGATGCGACTGCACACGATCATGAGAGATGGAGACTGATCTTGCATAATGCCTTTGAGCATTCGGGATGATGATGAGCCAGAGGCTTAACAAAATCTCATTGTTCTTTTATTAAGAGGATCTTGCAGAATGTATTTGTATATTTAGGGTATATACAAGTCATATAATTTTTGTTATAAAAAAATGTCTGTGTCTTTTTTATTTTAAAAGCACTCAATGAAGTGGTTATACTGATGCATTTGTTTATGGGCTTTTGTGTGGTTTTCATCGACCTTATATTTGGGGTGTGTGTGTTGGTACATGTGTAAATATATAAATGTGTATACGTTTGTACTTTAGTGTAAGTATGCGCACACACGTGTGTGTTAAACATGTGTATATGCTTGCATGTGATCATATAAGTGTGTGTTTTTGCACAATATTTATTGAATATTAGAAAAGTACATGAACATTATAAACTTTAGTTTGATAAGGTTTCATAAAAATGAAAAAAAAAATGTGATCTGAATCGTAAAGTCATAGGTTATTTGAACAGTATTTAAATTATAGAGCGCTCTCTTGTATGCACATGTTGATGTGTGAATATGAGCAAGCATATACATATTCCATCAGTATTGGTCTGTGTTTGTGCATGTACATATTAGCAAGAATGTGCATGCCTATGGATGTATTTGTGTGTATGAGCACATTTGCAAACATGTAATTACGTGTATCCTTATCATACATTTATATAGCGCCTTAACCAAGGTGATGTACAGTGAACTAACTATGGTACAAGATGGTTAGCGAGATCCAAAGAGATAATTGGATGGGAAATATGTGAAATGAGGTGGTGGTGGCGGCGTTGCGTGGAATAAACGAAGATGGAAATTAGATGAGTGGATTGATGATGGGTGAATATGGGGAGTTGGGGACAGGGAAGGCGAATGCTCATGTGTTTGTGTCGATGCCCAAGCACATGAACGTATGTACATATGCATGCATGCATGTAGAATACCATATCTAAATGCATCTTCATCTCAAGATCCCGGGAAAAATGATAATTTATAGTGAGCTTGGATTTGAACAGGGCGTCAACAGCACAGATCACTGGAAGAAGACAGTTCCAGACTTACTTTGACGGTCGAGGAGGATGAACGTGTCTCTCTCTCTCTCTCTGTGCAGCCCCAAACTGGCATTCTGTCCATGCTGGATGACGAGTGCATGCGTCCGGGCAATGCGACTGACTCTACCTTCTTGGAGAAGCTCAACGACATCTGTGGCAAGCACGAGCGCTTCAAGAGCCACAACAGCCTGAGCACCAAGCGCTCGATCAACAACTCCCTGCTTTATCGGTGCTTCCGTGTGGATCACTACGCCGGCATGGTGCGCACACACACGCACGTGCACTCAGCGCGCGCACTGAGTGCATGCAGTATACAGCGCGTCCCTAGAGCAAGTCTAATTCGAAGGAAACAAACAATAAACAAAAAAACTTATACAGTATATTGACAGTGGTGCACAAACATCTATTTGCGATGAAGATGGACCACTGGCCAAAACGTTACCCATTTCATGTTTTTTTCCGTTTTATGGCCACAGTATTATTGATGGATGTATTGAGTTTCTTTTCTTTTTATTAACATGAATGTAGTTGTATGCGTGTATGTTGAACGTCTTTCGCACTGTGCTAATCAGAGGTGGAAGGATAACAAACTAAACACAAAAAGCAGTTTTCAAGAAATTAGTTTTCAATCTAGAGTTTGTTCTGCCTGTGGAATAGTTATAGTGGTGTAAAATCTGAGCTCCATGGCCTCTTCTTTATGGTGGGTGGGCCAATCGAGTGGGTAATTGTGAACCAGTATTGAAATTGGGTTCAGTTTTCTACATGTGGAGTCCTGAATGTCGGTTGTGTTTGCACAACTCCAGTTTTAATATTGAAGTGTCTGTGTTCGCTCTCGAGCATTGCGTGGTGATTGGTGATGACCTCCACTGGCGAAACCAACTTCTGTTCACTTCAATTTTACGCACCCCCCAAGTGCTGAGCGAATCTCCAGATACACTTTATGCGTTCTAGATTTGAAGCTTTTGTGACTGCAAGGATTCATATTCTTAGGTTGTATCGGTAAAGTCACGTAGGTAAAACATTAAAATTAATAAAAGTAAAATAAAATAAAAATCACGACGTTTCGAAGGCAACACAAGCTTCCGTCTTCAATGTTTTACCTACGTGACTTTACCGAAAAAACCTAAGAATATAGACACTTTATGCGGTTGCTCCGAAAGTCAGTGGAACACCTAATGGGTAAAATCCACGTGTTAAAATCTGGTTATTACGTTGAGTGTACGAATGTCATTGAATTGCTAGACACGAGGATGGCTGAACATTCTAAAACTGTGAGAAAAATGTGCATGGGTTATATAATACCACAGTGTTTGTTATTTCAATGTCATTTGAGCACTACTTTTAGTAGAACATAGAAGCACTGCCGTTGTACATTCTTCAAGCAAATAGTGTTTTTTTATACTGGTAGGAACATCCTGGTTACACCAGCCCACAGGGGATTATTGTGTCCGTCCGTCCGTCGTGCATCCAAAAATGGGATGGGTGGGGCTGGGTGGAGAGGGGAGGGTGGGGAGGGGCTGGGTGGGGAGGGTGGGGAGGGGCTGGGTGGGGAGGGTGGGGCTGGGCTGGGTGGGGAGGGTGGGGCTGAGTGGGAGGGAGGCGTGGGGCTGGGTGGGGAGGGGCAGGTCACCCCGTGGTGCCCTTATAAAACTCAACGTATAACCTACTCACGCCGGCTTGTGCCCGCCTTCACAGTCGGCCATATTTGTGGAATACACCACGCCACCGTTGACCCTGGCCATTGACCGAGCAACCCAACGTTCCTACCAGCTCCCTCCGCAGGAATGTGTTTTTACAGTCCTCAGACGGTGAAAAGAGATCGTGTTTGGAGCTTTTATTACAAATATGAAAACACAATGTGGGACACATTCTTTAAACTCAAGCTTTCATAGGGAAGCCATTTTACAGTTGGTTATGCACATTGCAACGCTGTAGAATCTTGTGTTGTGGGTTCACTTACTGTCAATCACCTTTCGTTTCTGTCGCATTTCATATGAACGATCATCAGCTATCACTCTGCGTGCATCAGTCACCTAGTTTAATGTACTTTGTCATCCAGTATATTATTTCTGAGCAGCCTTCAGCTTCACAATTTCATTCACCGAAACACATCGCTGTAATTCAGTGCCATACTTCTGTTCAATGACTATCATTCAGTGTTACCCAGGGAAACATCACCTTGATCACCATCACAATACATCAACGTCTGTAATCGTAACATAACAATATTCTGTTCGATAATAGTTTTTTTACCATTTTATCTGGCAACAAAACTGACACCTTATTTACAAGGAGTCATGTTTGCATTGACCACAATACCTGCGGTCAGAATGCAAAAAAAAACACAACTCTGATCATGTATGCACTGTCCTTGAAATTGATTGATCCACACCCGAGACAGCTTTTCTTAGAGCCTAGTCTCACATGGTGTTGGACCAGATGACGCCAAAAGGCGCGGTCTATGCAAACATGACTCCTTGTAAAAAAGGTGTCAGTTTTGTCGCCAGATAAAAGGGTAAAAAACCAATGATCATATTTTGCTACTGGCAAAGGAGGTTCCAATGGTGGAATATTCTGTTCATCACATCTTTTGCCATCATAACCATCAACCTTACAACAGCCATCATTGCCCTTCCTCAAACTGTGTTCCTTGTCTGAGATTTTGCTTCCATTTCGGAAAGACTCACAGTGGGGGTTGCCCTGTCTGTGAGTCATCCCATCGTCAGCACAACTATGAACTCCAGAGAAGTTTTACTAAACTGTGTTTTGTAAAAAAATGTGAAGCGACAAGCAAACTGCGAAGAAACGCCGCTGCTTCTCTTAATCCTCACTGCACGGGCATCCGTGTTGGTTTTAATGTGATCCTGGCAGTCTCCATTGTGTACACATTTCTATTAAACAAGTGTCACTCAGAAAGCCATAAAACATTGTTTTCCAAACAACCGCTCGTACATATAGTTGGATTTTTTTTTACGCAGGAAAGCCAAGCACATTAAATGTGTTTGGCTTTTTGTTCCATAAGTTCATAACTTACGACAAAGAGTTTGGAACAAAAGAGTTCAAATAGAAATTACGGTTCAACCCTTATAATGCAGGAACCTTCATAGCTTATTGTTCCCAAAATACATTAAGGGAGTAGTGGTGTTGTGGTTTGCGCACTGCGCTATGGATCCAACAATTGATTCCTGGTCACGGCTAACATCAGTGGCGAGTGATATCGGTAATGATCCTCGGCCACCACCCTTCACCAATCCCTATTGACCAGCGTGGTGAAGTATGGTCAAAAAAACCCCTTGACTGATACAGCGTTGAATGGACGAACGACTGTAATTTCTTTACATTCATAACACGTTGCTTAATACAGACACACAATATGGACTGCAGCAATGCTTGCCACTGAGTTGATGTGTCTGTTCATGTTTACACTTTCCAGCTGGAAGCCAGAGTTAACCAACTAATCGCACAGGGTGATTGATTGATGGATACCCCAACTAAAATACAAGGGAGATGTTACGCAACTGTAGATTGTGATTCAGGTTGTTAAAGAGTTCTCAGCTTTTACAGTTCTTCCTCTTATTCTTTGGGTCTTCCGGCTGTAAAGTCACGTAGATAGAAAAAATAAAAGTAAATAAAATAAAATATTTAAAGTAAATAAATAAAGTGGATATTTTAAGTAAATCCAATATTTTTTTTACTTAATTTTTTTCTATCTACGTGACTTCACCGAAAGAACCAATGAATATGAATTCCTGCAGTCACAAAAGTTTTAAGTAAAAGTTCTTACTCTGTTTTTCTTTTACATATTTAATCGCATCGATGTCAAAATAATGTAAGATACGATTCGTAAATTGTTCTCCTTTGCTTTGGCACACACACACACCCAGACGCCACCTGGATTAGACGCAGTGCATGTGTCGGGGTCCGAGCATCTCCATCCATGCTACCAGGGGCGGTTTCTTCATTAGGGCGATTGGGCGACGCACCACCAATGTCATTCAACCACAGAGTTTCGCGAGCCGTTACTGTGCCTCTGGATATAGTCCAATCAGCATCATGTCACGTTCTGTGGAGTACCGCCTCTTTTTGGGCGATTTCACTCCGGCTGAGAATCGCCCAGAGTGTTCCCATAGACTTACATTCAAAGATGTTTTTTTTCTAATGGCGGCCGCTCCAATGCATTCTCTATGGCTTCCGGGAGGGCTCGCACTAACGTGCTTACGTCATCATACGTAAGCAAGTTTCATCCAACAATATAATTTGTCGCCACCTAGTGGAATCTTTAATAAAAGAAACTGAGTGGATTGTATTAATAGTGAGTATAGAAATAAACAAGATGTATTGTAAGAGTCACTTTATTTTTCATTAACATTAAAGAAGTGAAGTTGCCTTTACATGCTTAAGCTGTTAATTTATCCATTGCATGGGTGGACCTTATCCTTATCAATCATCCAGACATTTGCCCCCCCTGAGAGATTTTGCAGGAACCGCCACTGCATGCTACCCTTCACCGCAGAATATAACTGCATCATAAATCGTAACAAGCTGTATTTCCTTTACAATTGCAGCATTAAGTGGGGAGCAAAAAGTGAGTTGAATTTTCCGTCATGGACCCAGTCCGTCGATGAGCCTACTATTTAGTACTGGTGCTATAGATGTTTATAGACAGTGCTCAATAATATATTTAATAATGAAGTCCATTTGGTCATGGGAATTGTTTTACCATACTTCACCATGCTAGTCAGTGTGGATTGGTGGAGGGGCAGCGATGTCCAGGACGAGTTCAGGTATCACTTGCCACTGATGTTGGCTGTGTCCAGGGATTAAACTCAGTTATTTATGGGTTCATAGCGCAGTGCGCTAACAACTGCACCACACACTCCACCCTGGTACTAATACAATGTGTGGCCGAGTTAGGTTTTAAATTAGCCGAATGTTCCTGCTGGAATTGGTCGACCAATTTTTTTACTGGGTTATTTTGCTTGTGAGAGGAAATTAGGGTACCTGAAGTCACAATCCATACAAGATGCTACAAATGCTTGTATGCAGCTGTGTCCTGAATACAGCTTTCTTTCATGTATTTAACAAGCAACCTCATAGCCCTGCAGGTCCGCTGTCTCATCTCATGCATATGCTGACATCGCCATGATCCGCTTACAAAGCAATGGATTGCAAGTGTGCCTTACTGCAACATTCTGACAATTATTCCTACATCTATAGTTACTTGCTTTGATCATTTATTTAAACTCAGTCTGCACGGTATTGGCGTGCACACATGTGCGTGTCTGCGTGTAGGTGACGTACAGCGTGGATGGCTTCGTGGACAAGAACAACGACCTGCTGTTCCGCGACATCTCGCAGACCATGTGGCAGAGCAAGCGGGAGCTGGTGCGCGATCTCTTCCCTGAGGGCAACCCCAAAAAGCAGTCGCTCAAGCGACCGCTCACAGCCAGCAGCCAGCTCAAGACCTCGGTCAACGCCCTCATGAAAGACTTACTCATCAAGAACCCCAACTACATCAGGTCTCCCATTCACCGCCACCCCACTAGGCCTATGCCCTGCGTGTGCCCATCAGGGTGGGGTGGGGGGTGTTGCATCTGCAGATGGAAACTCCTGTCACGGGAGGTTTCTGTGGTCTGGCATGACCTCATGTATTTCCCATGAGAATGTAACATGCAGCTGGACACGGTTCCTGTGGCTCTGAGGAAGCCCCAGCAGCAAGCACTGGGCTGGGTGGCGTCACTGAAGCAGCTCTATTGTAATATCATTAAAATTCTCCGCCTGTGACTAAATTACCTGAAATGCACCCGATATAGGCAGTTCATGGAAGCTGGACATTTCTTGGATAGGTGAGCACCGTACACTGACAGCGTGTCATAGGGCTCCGGGGCTGTGTGATGTGCAGTCGAGGGACTGCAGCAAAGTCCATTGTTGCACTGTACTTCCGTGCTTCCACGTTCATGTTCCCCGCCATAACCAGCTGTGCTGATCAGTGGTGAAGTATGGTCAAATAGCCACCACGGCCTTCACAGACGTGGGGAGACTCTCATTCAGCGGTGGAGGAATAAAAAAGGTTGTGTATGTATGTTAAAATTCCGAAAAGATGGTGTGTCTTTATTCAGCCTCATGGTTTAGCCATGGTGTCTGTGTCTATGTCTCTAATGCAGTTGAATTCTGAATGTCTTCAATGCCTGTCGATTGAAATCTTGGGCAGCATTTGTCAGCAAGCAATGCTAATGTTATAAGTAGTTATTTCTGCGGCAAATACAATGGCATATAAGAGCCCCTAGATTCTAAACCTTTTATATTTGTGATTCAGAATGATACCTTTTGAGCTTTCCAACGATAGCTTTCATTAGCTGCAACTAGAATGTGTGCATCACATACATTTTGAGTAGCATATGCGTTCTCGAGCTGCAGTGGTGAAGACCATTAATGAAAGCTAATTAATTTCAGTATTATGTTTTTGAATAAACAATGGGACTGTACTTGTAAGGGATATTTAAAGCAGAACACAACTCACGTGATACTATTCCACTATCAACAGCACATTGTGTATTACAAAACATGTCACCGTTCACAAATAATATAGGATTACATATTTTTATATCTGTTGTTTCCAATTTCATTGAGCAAAATAATTGACAGTATTTAAATGTGTGTTGTTTATTAAATTAGATACATAATGCGTGTTTTGAATCTCAGTGGGTGGCATATTAACCTAATCAGAGCTGCATCATAATATCAACACGTAATCATCTCTCAGCACTTAAGCTATGGTTCATGACTACACAGACCATTCATTATGTGGAGAATTAAATGTACTCATGAACTCACTAACCTACACCACCGCTAAGATGAAGGCAGTGCATTTTGGCTTCGTCAGATACACACATGGTGATATACTAGATTTGAAGCTTTCGTGACTGCAATGATTCATATTCTTAGGTTTTTTCGGTAAAGTCACGTAGATAAAAACATTAAAAAGTAAAATAAAATAAAAATCACGACGTTTCGGAGGCAACACAAGCTTCCGTGTTGCCTCCGAAACGTCGTGATTTTTATTTTATTTTACTTTTTAATGTTTTTACCTACGTGACTTTACCGAAAAAACCTAAGAATATGGTGATATACGTTTTAATTTAAATACTCTCTCTGGAGTGCTTCCAAACGTCATGCGCTTTGTTATGAATCTCGTATCTTGTGTCTGGGGCGAGGTGACCTTGTGGTCGTGTGGATTTTTCTCCGGATCCTCCAGTTTTTCTCTACACATTTGTAAACATGCGTTTAGATTTGGCTGCTCCTATAAATTCCCACATATGATAAGCCATTTCCTTGAGCTATCATAATGTGGCCAGGTTGCTTCTGAAAAAGAGCTATATAGCGCAGTGGGCCTTACCTGGTAACTAAAATAGTTAAAATAATTGCTTAACTCCAGCCCATACAGGTGCAAACCCCCCACGGCTTCCCTTGCATTGTGCCGGGCTGTCTCCTGCACTCGACCATGCTGTGTGTTGCTGCCGCACTTCATTGCAATACTGTCACATCAAATCAGTAGTGTGGCATTGTTGTGCCATCAGTGTACAGTACTTCTATATGGTATAATTGATATACAGCATAGCGAAGTATGGGAGGAGAAGATAACCCCATGACGAACATGGTGTGGGAAGATCTTCATCCTTTGCTGGATTGAGAATGGCTGGAGTTTATTTATTCAAAAGTCAAAGTTCAAGTATCTTCCTGCTCAAGTGAGCAATGGGGTCGTGATTACACTTAAGTGGTTGTGCTTTCGCTACGTTGTCCCCACCTGAACAAGGACGCTTGTGTTACGCCCGAAACGTCGTGATTTAATTTAGTTGTTTTCCTTTATTATATTTTTTACCTACGTGACGTTACCGAAAAAACCAAAGAGTATGCGTGCTTACATCTGTTCGTAGTCACGAGGAATACCACATTCCCTTGGTGGGGCCCAGTAAACACATAATTGCTTGATCACTGTTGACTTGTCACAAAGTGGTACACATTTTATTTACCCCAAATGGATGATAGGCAAATTTATAATTGTCCTTTATGCAGGCATATTTATTGAGTAATTTTTCATAACGGAGTAAACCAGGGTAACTGAAGAACACCCATACATATGAATGGATTATAGGCCAGAATGTGTAAACATACTGTACGTCAAAGATATCTGCTTGCGAAATTGCCTCTGAAATGCTACTACCTCTTAGCATGAAGATTGGGTGTCTTGCTCTCGGTGTCAGCCGGGTTCACCAGCTCCGCCTCCAGATTTGCTTATGACAGAAAAGCCCCGTTTAGCCGCGAAGGCCATAAATGCCGTTTGTCCACAAAATGAAGGGTGACACCGATGGACACTGGCACGCATTGCAACAGTACCACGCATCCCCCTGCTGGGGGGACTTCTTAGTCTGGCTCGGTTCAACCTTAAGTCTCAAGTCACACAGACAATCGTAGGCAAAAAGCACCCAGCCCTTGTGCATTATGCAAAATAAATCATCAGCAGTGCGTGAAGAATGTCAGTGTGGTCAGAAACTGCTGGTGGTTTTTTTTGCACAATGCGCAAAAGCTGAGTGATTTTTATACACGTTTTTGGGTGTTGTTTGAAACCTGTGATTTTCCCAGCCTACTCAATGTTTCTGTTGTGCTTCTCATCATTTGCAGATTTGATCGCTTCAGCCTTTGTATTCCTCGCTTATCACTGATACGGTAGTTTGTCAGTTCTAGTAGTGTTACCTTGAATATTTTCAGCTACCAGAAGGCAATGTAGCTGTTTTTGGAAGGCTTTGGTAACTATCTTGATTTTTTATTCTGTTAATATATGTTGCATATGCATAGATACAGTATGTTATGTAAAAATGTTTTACGTGAAAATGATATTGACTCGCAATAACACTGAGTGAACATAACATGTTATACATAATATGTTTGTGACCTTGTAGGCACACAGTGTGTGCCTACAAGGTCACAAGAGTAATGTACACTTGTTACTTGTGTTGTTTATCTGATTGTGTCTATAATTATGTACATTTGTTACTTCTATTGTTTACATGATTATATCTATAATTTTATTTACCTATTGAGGTTTGAAAGTATTGAAATTATTTCAAGCCAACCATTAATCTTATATTTGAAATTCTTAAACTTGATTATTTGGTTCTTTCGGTTAAGTCACGTCTAAAGATAAAATAATAAATTAAATTAAATAATAGCATACGACGTTTCAATCGAAACGTCGTATGCTATTATTTAATTTAATTTATTATTTTATCTTTAGACGTGACTTAACTGAAAGAACCAAATAATCATTTACTGCAGTCACGAAAGTTCTAAAATTAAGATTCTTAAACTTCATTACCATCATCATCCATCCTCATTGCCTTGCCTTTTAATACCATAGGCATCACAAATTTCAGCACATCAGTAATTGAATTGATGAGGACACTGGGAGCACAATTCGAATGGGTGTTTTAGTAAGAGTTGCTGTCAGACTGAGAAAGCACCGGCTTTCTCACCCTGGCTTGCTGACAGCGATCGACGCTCAAGCAGTTTGCACAGCCTACTCTTCATTAATTCGGCTGCTAATTATCAAGGGTGCCACATCATCAATGCCACAGTGTAAGGATGGTATCATGCTGAAAATAAAGTCCACAGATAACAATCATATCGAAACGTGTCACACCAACAGCACACCTTTCAGAGTACAGCCATGTGAAACCAATAATCCAACTCCTCTTTCTGTGCTGCAGACACATTCATTTCACGGGGCAGCCAGACCACACATTATGTGCCACGCACAATGTGCGCTATGCTCACCATGGCCATGCCGCTCGCATGTCTCTGCACCTACTCGCTACAGGTGCCTCAAGCCCAATGACCGCAAGTCGGGCAGCCTCTTCCAGGACGATCTGGTGTTGAACCAGGTGCGCTACCTGGGCCTCATGGAGAACGTGCGTGTCAGGCGAGCGGGATACGTGTTCCGCCAGCTCTATGCGCTGTGCCTCCACCGGTACAAGATGCTCGGCAGCCGAACGTGGCCGCATTGGAACGGCGAAGCCAAGTACGTCACATGCACCACGCATGCAGCTCATCGTGCAAACATTGTCACGGCTTGGTTGCCTTGGGGTCACCATATGGAAGGGTTATAGAAAAGGCCTGTTCTATTTTTTGTTCATCTCGCGATATGGTAATCATCAGAATGATGACTCTCCTGCATTGGAATGTCTGGTCTATTCATTTTTAATTCGTGTTTTGATGTCGGAGGAAACCGGAACACCCATCAAAAAACTCACATGTACGTGAGTATGTGAGGACTCACAGTGTGTGGCCAGGAACCCACTTTCTGGACTGTCATGCACTGGCCACTTCACAGTGCAGCAGTTTGGGAATTCCATGGCACACCGTGAAATTTTCGTGAGCCAATAACACGGCCTCCAAATGCTGGGTTATGTGTGTGCACCACCACGCCCAGCATAAAACATTAAATTTCTGATAAATCGGACTTAGGTAAATTTCACGCATGATTAATCACACACAGTAGTTGATTCACTTTTTATTTGTGAGCGTGGAGTGAACATGCGATCTTGAGAACCTGCCGGGTTCCAAATTAATGAAGCTGCACATGGGCCTCTTCCCATATACGCAGTCAATCGAGAATCTTCTGTGCTCTAAGAATAATGAGTTGCGTTGAACGGCGTGCGATGTTCCCCTTGATTGTTCCCCACGCTATGACTGTCAAACAGGGAGGGGGTGAAAAGTATCCTGGTGGACCTGAAACTTCCCCAGGAGGAATACGCCTTTGGGATCACCAAGGTCTTCATCAAGAGCCCCACCACGGTACGGAGGGTTGCTCACGGCGCTCAGCGCACGCTCATTTCAATGACAGATTCTGGGTATTGGAGGGGGGGGTAATTAACCGAATATCACGGCCCAGTTAACCCATTGGTGGTTCACAACTTAGGCCTCTTGACCCTCCAACTAATGCCATTTTTCCACTGCCTGTGATCCATAACCTGGTTGGGTAGCGTGTAGTTCTAGTCATTCCGAAGCAGGCGGTTGCGAGTTGAAATCCTAGTTGGGGGGGGGGTTCAATGAAACTCCGAACGTATTCATCGTAAATCAAGTCAGTAAAGACTTTATAGAATGTCTACAGTGGTCATCTTATGAAGATCCAGGCTCGTGCCCGGAGAATGAGGAATTCCAACCACTCTCAAAGGGGCTGTCAAAGCAGATGCGTGTTGTCTCAGTGCCCGTTTTAGTAAAGGACAGTCCAGATGCCAGCACTCCTGACATTCCTTGATTTGGTACTGCCTCTTTCCATACATTTTTGATGGATTGGATATGTTTTGTCTGGAGAATTGGGAACGTAAAGATGACATGAATGACGGATAACATTATGTTACAGTGGTATTCACACAAAAAAAATCCTACTTATTTACCCATTTTGTGTTTTGAGATTCCCCACCATTTAATTCCCAAACAAATGTAAGTCCTTATCCTGAATCAAAGTACAACCATTTTTTTACTTGTTCAGATACAGTCATCAAAAACAACATGCTACGTAGATACACTTGCTATAGCAGCACCAAATAACTGTATATTCCATGTCGCCACCACAGTTGTTTCAGCTCGAGCGGAAACGCACGGAGCGCATGCACGAGCTGGCCACCCTCATCCAGAAGACGTACCGCGGCTACAAGTGCCGTACTCACTTCCTCCTCATGAAGAAGAGCCAGATATTAATCGCCAGCTATGTCCGATCACACCAAGTGAGTCCCGTTCATTGTACAGGCACGATCGGCCTCGAGCTCCTTTCGAGGATAATCTCACACACCACGCACACACACACACGTGTCATTCCGTTAGGTGGTACAACATTTAACCAACACCAAAGGAATGATGGGCTGAGTAAGCAAGGAGTCAGGATTTGAACTCTTTCATCCTTCCTATTGAGTCAAACACTCTAGCCACAGTGCCAACATGTCAGATTGTGTGCATACAATAATTGGTCATTCACCAAAGTGGTTCTACAGCAGATAGTTTGCATTGCATAATTTGAGAACTCAAACTTGTGGAAAAAATGGGTAGATGGCAAATTGTAAGTAATCTTTACACTATACAGCCACCCACATTCAATTGCGCACATTGAAAATATCAGTATCAAATGCTTGTTATGAAAATGTCAGGAGTGTTCATAACCATGTTCACATTGTGTAGATACGAATAATTCCCAAAGGATTTAAATAAGTATGAAGCAAAATTCACACTCCATTGCAAGCCCTTACAGTGGTCACGAGACCAGCTCGCCACTGTTTCTAACTACATCCCAGCGTGGATCACGCAGACATGCTCCGAGACATTTAGACTGTGTTACCGTTTATCTTAAATTGCACTGGAGGCTCTGTCGGAATTGGAGATTATACGATATGGCACAAAGCGACATTACTATTCTGGCTGAGTGGGAATGCGGCAGCGCTTTGATCGTTGCAAGTGGAAAGAAGTTGCCTGCAAGGCGGCTGGAAGCAAATGGTGAAATCATTTAGTACCACTGAGCCAGTTTCCTTTGAAAGTATATGTTCCAGATTTTCATGCATTTTTAATAACACACGTCCACGCTGTAACAGTTGCTCAACTGTCAGTCAAAGAGTTACAAACTCTTAGGTTTTTTCCGGTAAAGTCACGTAGGTAAAAATAAATAATAAAAATAATAGAAATAATAATAGAAATGAAATCATAAATCACGACGTTTCAGAGGCAACACAAGTCTCCGTCATCAGGTGGGACCGTCACAGCTAAATCTACTGTATCAAGTGAGGCAAAATTCCAAGAGACAAGCTCTTAAATACAAGTTAAGGGGGAGGGGGGTTCTTATCTGAATGTAAAGAGTTACAAGTTCAAATTCTGGTCATGTGTAAAAAAAAGGAGTATCACATTGTGGAAAGTCAACAAGTATTGTCCTAGCATCGAGAGACCACTCACATGCAAGATAACGTATGGCAATATAAATTTTTACAAATATTATTTGATTACAACTCACGGAAGGTCATTTGACTTGGTTGATTTGGCATGCAAATATCATGCTGGACTTTTTAGATCACTGGAGTCATTCGCCATTTGTTAATAAATGTAGCCGAAGACAAATTTTATTATTATGCTATAAATAAAACGTGACACTAAAAGAAAATATCAGAAGGGCATTAGTGTTCATTCTTATATTGTCTGAGCATAATACGTAAGAGAAGCGTATTGCTTGCTGCAATTCAGTGTGTCTAATTGCTGCATCTGTGTTTGGCATGCAGCCTGCTTGGAGGTAATAGATGCCAGTTGAACAAACAAAACCACTTGTGAACTCCTGCACCACATTCTTGGAATTTGTGTGGGTGAATGTGTTTAGTGCAGGCTGCCTGTTAGAAGCGGATGTTGAAGCAACCTAACGTGCAGACATTGTGGCTGTATTGAACATTTAAAGGCCACATTTTAGGAATTAAAGTGGTCTTTTGTTAAAGAAAGTTCCAGTGTGTTCTTGTCAATGTCCCAGTTCGGTGACACATTTATTTTGTTCAAAATATGCCATTTGTTGTAGAGATAATTTAAGAGGCAGTGTTTGTATCATGTGGTGAGCATCTGTGTGTATATATATGTGTGGGGAGCAGTGACAAAGTGGTGAGCACGCTGCGCTATAAACCTGGCAAGCCGATTTCAATTCCCACTCCCGGCCAACACCAGTGACGATTATCTGAACTGGTCCTGGGCCTCCCCTGGGTCGACTCAGCCTCAAATGAGTACCTGGTGCGGTGTGTAAACATTGCCACTGGAAATACAAAGGTGGTCGGGCATGGTGCTGGCCACCTACCTCATCATGTAGCATGCCGGCCTTCATAGGTGCTCACTAACAGTCTGTTAAGGCTATATGGGGGATCTCAGTCTTTGTCTAAAAATGTTTACACGTAACACGGGTATTCATATTCTCAACACGTTGCAGTTATTGTGGCTCAGAGGATCAAGGATTCTCTGTCCACGAGTGAGTTGACCCACGTAGACATTATGAAAGAGCGTATGGGAAAACTCACAAGATATTTAACGTAGAGTTTGCGATTACATCTCAATGTCAGCTGGTCCATATATTGTGGTAATGGCCAATGTGGTGGCGTATTCCTGAAGTAAGTTTTAGGATCCGTTCTCTCTAAAAAATAATGCTGTGGCTTCCTGGATGGACCTTGAAGCACGTGGTTAATTACACCAGTCTGAGAAATGTATGTTGTTAGTATGATAGCAATGCTTATGTCTGCAATGCGAGCGTGAACACTGTTGTTCTTGTGTATAGTCAGTGATTCCATGCTCAAATAAGCATTGAATGGTACTCATCCCACTTTACAGCTCTGAGCCAGGGGGTAAACATCTTCTATTCCTATGGCGATGGCCTTGAGGAGTGTGTCATTAATAAATAACTTAATTAGTACAGATTGGAGCTCCTCTAATGGCTGTAATGCTTATTCCCCCGTAGCACCCCAAGGATTGACATTGGAGAAGCACATTGCCTTTTAGAGCAACCCCAACTGTGCCCGAGCTTTCAATTATTAATCGTCTCCGCTTCTTCGCTGAAGATCACCTCGCCTTTGGGCAGTCCCAGGAGCCGCCCCCAAAATTCGGCATTGACTTTCTCAACGATTAACCAAATTAATTGCGGTCCCCATTAGCGTTGCGTGTTGCTCTTTTCCAGGAACGCAAGAGGTACGTGAAGACTCTGGAGTGCATTGTTCTCCTGCAGCGCATCGTCCGCGGATGGAAGGTATGAGCGATGACCGCGTGCCGAGTTGGCTCGACGTGCCTGCACTAAATAATCACGGTTGTGTACTCTGCACCCGTCGCGCCTTGCCAGTGACTCCGTCTCCTCCCACCAAATCACTGTTGGAGTCTCTTTGGTAGCGGAGGGTGAAGTGCTCGAGTTTATAGTGCATGGAGCCACCGTTCAAAGCACAACATAAAACGCATCCTAACAATGACGATCTCCCTTTTTCCAGCCGATGGGATTGTGTGTCGCGAATTTCGTGGCAATGTGCACGGTTGACGAAAGGTTTCTTGTATGCCCTTCCTGCAGCTGTGTTCCACTGATGCTAGTTTCACAGCCAAGCCAAGCTTTATTTGTGGTGTTGCAGCGCCACACCTCCGCGTGCATATTTTATTGACGGCCACTTCTGGCGTGACCTGCTGCACGCAACGCTTCTTTCATTATTAAGTGACCAAGTGTCACTGTCCTCTCGATAGTGAGCACAACTAACAAAGCACAAGAAGCAGTTCTAAAGAAATGAATTAAAACTAGATTTAAAACCAATTTCTTAAGAACTGACTCATTTCTTTAGAATTGCTTTTTATGTTTAGTTTGTTGTTCTTCCCCTGCACCTCTGCTGAGCATGTTTGGCTACGTACGGTGCAAAATACATTTTACATACATACATATACCCCAACACATTCCTGCGGAGGGAGCTGGTAGGAACGTTGGGTTGCTCGGTCAGTGGCCAGGGTCATTGGCGGCGTGGTGTATTCCGCAAATATGCCCGACTGTGAGGGCGGGCACAAGCCGGCGAGAGTAGGTTAAACGTTGAGTTTTATAAGGGCACCATGGGGTTACCAGCTCCTCCCCACCCAGCCCCACCCCTCCCACCCCCCACCCAGCCCCACCCTCCCCACCCAGCCCCTCCCCACCCTCCCCACCCAGCCCCTCCCCACCCTCCCCTCTCCACCCAGCCCCTCCCTCCCCACCCAGCCCCTCCCTACCCTCCCCTCCCCACCCAGCCCCTCAATCCCCACCCAGCCACTCCCTGCACGAGGGACACAATAACCCCCTATGGGCTGGTGTAACGAGGAGGTTCCTACCAGTATAAAGCAATGCATTATCTGTTCCTTGACCCACATTGTATCCCTGTACAGCGGAGTATGAATGAAGAGCAGGTTTCCAATGACAGTTTTTTTTATTGCTGTCATTGATGAGTGGAATGAAACCATAAGCCTCACTGCATGTGGACAATCTCCCCAATTTATGGATAAAACATTTCATTTCCTGCTGGTCAAACTTCAAGCAGGATCTATCACAGGTGCTGAATGAGCACCTTGTTACGTTTAAACTCATGACTTGTACACTCTGTTCGTTATCAGGAATATTTTGGTCCAAAGTATTCACACGCACAGTATGTGTTGAATCATAGTACCACTGTGGAATCTCTTCCACTAACTATCAAAGGCTATAAGGTGTTTTCCATTATATGATCATAATGGACCAAGTCTTGTTCTTTAACCTTACTTTGAAGAACCAGATTAAGGATCTTACTGAGCAACATCCACGTGAGAATTGTAGCTTTCAAAGTAAAGTTTTAAGCGGTTTTGTTGGAACAAAGAAGAGGCTCACTATAACAGCATTCTAACAATGCAAATGTCTTTGCTGCACCCAAGCTGGAAGGAGCCCCTTTTAAAAACGGGACTCATTTCTCAACTTGTGTGTAATGACTTTTTGAGATTCGCGTGAATGTTGTGCATGGCGCAACATTTACAGGGGAAAAAATTCCTGACACATATGAGTAAAAGATCCTGATGAAATATGAGGAAAAAATCCTGACAAATTATGAGAAAAAAATCCAGATAAAATATGAGGAAAAAATAAATCCTGACTAAATGAGAAAAAAATCCTGACAAAATGAGGAAAACATCCTGACAAAATGAGAAAAAAATCCTGACAAAGTGAGAGAAAAAAATCCTGACGAAATATGAGGAAAAAATAATGACAAAATGAGGAAAATTTTTGACAAAATGAGGGAAAAATCCTGACAATGAGGAAAAAATCCTGACAAAATTATGAAAAATCCTGACAAAATATGAGGGCAAACCACTGAAACAGGCACCACTACTCTCTTTCTCAGCATTGAAGTGTGCTCCGACATGGGGAGTAGTTACATTTTTTTTGCGTTGCAGATGCAGAGCGGGTAGTGTGGTGTTGGCTGAGACGAGCGTGGGATGTGTGGCCTCGGTAAACGAAGTGGGGTGTGGGGGGGCCCGGGGTCCCTTCAGCCAGGGAACTTTGCCACCTGCTTTTGGAAGCTTACTTATCAACTTGGTGATCGATGCATGTCCAGTGAACCCAAGGGCACCTGGACAGGAGGGTACATAATGGAACACACGCCCTACTATACTGGAAGATGTACGGGAAACACACACGTGCATGGCATTGCGAACAAATGAGTGTCAATGTCGAAGTAACATGCTAAAAGATCTGCTCAATTGAAAACAATTACACTAAGGCTTCAGTGACCTGACCTACAATGTCAAGACTAGAAAACATGCACCATTTTCTTACATTTAACTGTCAAACTAATTTCCTGTTGTCAATGTTTCGGTACAAATTTCACGTGAGATCCAACACGCATTCCTGCACTTTCGATTCTGCCCATATCTGTATGGCTGATGAAAAGTAAGACAAACGAAAAAGGCATGTGAGCACACCTCTGTTTGGAGTGGTGTTCTAGCGATAATTGCATTGCGTGATGATGCTTGCACCCAAGTAACAATTACTGTCTGACCTGGCTTGCGTATCACCATTGGTCAGCTCAGCCTAAAATGAGCACCCCAGCTTAGTCCATCAATATATCGCAAGCACCAAGGATACAAAGTTAGCTGGGCATAGAATTAGCCAAGCCACATTCTCGACTGCCATACCACCGTTAATAGACGCTCACTAACTACACTTTCTGCATTGGCCTTTAAAGCTTAACAAAGGCCTACTTCTTTTATCTGTGCAATATTTACGTGTTTTTCACGTCTGCCTGCGTACATCTGTGTCCATCTGTCCATGCAGTCGGCCTCTGTGTGTCTCTGTGTGCCCATGTACCTCGTGGCTTGAGCACCCATGTGCACTTGCTCAGCCCACCCGTGCCTCCGCCGCCGTTTCTTGCCTCTGTCTCTTGTCCTTCCATCGACGTGCACTCGCGCTCGCCGCCGTGTCCCCCGTCGTGTCGCCAGGCCCGCAGACTCCTGCGCCACCTCAAGCACCAGAAAAAACTCAACGACGCCGCGACCGTTATTCGCGCCTACTGGTGTGGCTTTCAGGTGAGGCCGCTTAGTTCCATGCCAGGCCTCTGTGCCCTGCTGCACCCCTAGCCCCTCTAGCGGTATCACTACACTGCTTCACATGGCCCAGGGAGTTGCGTCAATGCTGAGAAGGATTTGCATGGCTTTGCATGCCAGGGCCGTTGTAGCTGGTTTGCCTTCATGGTTTGTTTAACTGCGTAAAACGAAGTGATCCGTAACTACTCATAACACTGGTCAACACACTTTTTCTGGCATAAGGTATTCCAACGGTTTTAATGTAATTTTGGGGTGCTGATTCCAAATCTGGCATCAGTTTTTGTCGATCACATCAGGTTTTTGAGATATCAAATATTGCATTTTCAATAAAAACTGCAGAAGAAAAATATTAAATAAATGTGGATATCTACATAAAATTATATTATAAACACACTATCATAAAAATACAGCACCATATTTTAACACTAAAGCAGTCACTGACTCGCAACAACTTGCAATCATAAGTGACAGAGTTAATTTCGGGTAAAATCAATGAAAATGGCGTATTCTGATAGCATAAAAATGAGATGTGATAGAGCCAATCTGAGATCAGATTTGGAATCAGCACACTGTTAATTAGTCTAAAACAGCTGCAAAAGTCCAGGCCAGAAAAAAATTTTTTTTTTGTTGACCAGTGTTATTGTCACGATCCATGGGCAGATAGACCATAAGGTGTTCACTGCACATTTCGACGTGATCTGTAACCACTAATGTGATCCGTAAACACTAACGACTGCATTCATTTCAAGGTCTCAACGTTGGCAAAAGCAGACCATGTGACTAACCACATTCACGAATTCAGTAAATCTAACCTTGCATGGTAATGTGTAACTTGCATGGCTCTATCATTAAGTTGTATTTTGGTGTCTTCATTTTACCATGATGTTTGTCTAACATTTCTGTTGACACATTGCTTTGTTATTTATGGTTGTGACAATGGTTTCTTTCGCCTCTTTACACTAACTGCATGTGAATGAATGCAGTTTTACTTTTCTTCCACAGGTTTTCTCCCCACAGATTACAATGTCAGTTTCCCCCCACAGTTTGGCTTTCCACAAGGAGTGGATTACCAAGACTAACGATTTAATCTTTGACAATAACCATTGCGTTTATTTATATTGCAGTACTTGTTATGATTTGACAAACAAATTCACCAATCACTTTTTCATTAATGACAATTATTAACCTCGCATTTATTCATCAGCATTTTCCCCAAATACCATGTCAGGTTATGTAAATGCCAATAACATATAGTCAGTTCAGTTGTAAAGTTAAGCTTTTGTAGGGGTATAACCACTCTGAAACGTGCCAGAAATGTATACCACTGAACTAGACATTCAACAGCATAGCATATTTTTCAATAAAATTTTGTCCATTTTAAAGCATTATAAGGCTGCTCTGACGATAGAAACCCCAGCACGTGTATTTATTGTTCAGTTTATTTTCGTGACATTTGCATGCGAGGAGGAAAAACTGAAGATTTGCCTGAACAAATTGACTGCCAGTGCAGTTTAGCAAGAACAGTGGAAAAATAAATACAGCCATTCCACGTAAAAAAGACGAAGATGTATCACTACATTGGTGCTTGTGTTAGAGAATGATTTGTGGTGACAGCTGTAACAAACTGATAGAGCAAGCTGCTCCTACTCCTGTGCTCTGCTACCTTGTGCATGCCATTGCATAGTAAGCCATGGCTCCCTAGATAATGGTAACGGTGAACGGTTGCCCTGTGCACGTGGCACGGTGGAACTCTTTAGTCGTCTAAATAATGCAGTACCTGAATTTTATGAGCAAAGTCAAGGTCCAAATGGAATCATGGCCAAAGCCGGTGATGCCACCCTACCTCACTAATTCATTCTACCATCTGCCAGATCCTGTAAGCTGCTACAGAGTAGACACATGACCTGCAAAATCTACACCAACATATCCCACCATATGGTCTTAGGCCTTACCCTTGGGCTCCGGACTCATGGAGGCCCTTCCAGCGTCCGTCTCGGCAACCCCCCCCCCGCCCCACTTGCCCCCCCAGTGCAACCTGTTTTAGTTTTATTTCCCAGTCATAGCCCCACTACACGCTTGCCCCGCTGAAGCAAAGAGCCTCTTTGACCTCCTTCTCACAGCCACCTGCATTACGGACATTATTGCCCAAGTACACAACAAATTCATCTACCATATCAACGTTCTCTCCTCCTACCAGGACCTGCCATCCTACTGCAAGGAGTCCCGTTTCTTTTATCTTATATTTACATCACGCTTTTATCCAAGCCACTTTACAAGGGTTATGAATGGTAAAATTAGGGTAGCTAAAAGTGATATGGTGAATAGGGATGGGGAGGAAGGTTAGTGGGTACGGGAATTACGGGGGTACCTCGGGGTGGAGGGATGGATGGGCCAGGGAGAAGAGGTGGTGGTGGTCTTGAGCGAGGAGCGGAAACTAGACGGTGATGGTTGCTTGCTGCTTAATGCGGAGGGGAAGTTTGTTCCATTGCAAGGGGGCAAGTAGGGTCAAAGGAGCGGAAACGGGGATTGTGCACAAGGATAGGGTTGGACGGTTAGGAGTAGGAGAGATTGAGAGCGGAGGGGGCATAAAACGATCCCAGTGTCCAGTCACAGTCTAAAACTAACACCAATTCTATGGCTCCAAGCCAAGGTCCTAGTCAACAGACCTGCATCATCTCTGTAGTCCCTCACATTCATCTTGCCTGCTCACCATAGTCGTGGTGTTTATGAATACAGAGTCAAGCTCAATAAAACAAACGATGGGAGGCAATAATATCACCATAACAAACACCTGTCCTAACATCCAATCATTCCAATGTCTCGCCCACAATTCATACACAGGCCTGAGTCCCATCATACATGTTTTGAAGCAGCCGACTTATCTTACCTGGGACGCCATAGCAAGCCTAACAGTTCCCAGAGGCCTTTCTGGCACACAGAATCGATGGCTTGCTTAAAGCCCACAAAGGAAATCTAAAGGTTCTCTCCATACTCTCAACTCTTCTCTATCTGCCGATCTTATCACTTGCAGCCCCTCGCTGATCTAAGTCCACACGGATTCTCCCTTAAGTAACTTAATATTTTGATTATTTATTCTATTCATAAATATTCTGGTGAATACCTTCCCGGGAATGCTCAAGATACTTGTCCCCCAAGAGTTACTACACTCATTTATATCGCCTGTCATATGCAGTCTTATAATTGCATTCTTCCAGTCCTGTGACGGCTGTTCCCTATTCTAGGCAGTGTTAATGACCGTGTGTAGCTCGTCCAACAGACAATTGTCCCCGTCAAACTTGATTTGAAGCTTTCGTGACTGCAGGAATTACTCTTTGGTTCTTTCGGTAAAGTCACGTAGAAAGGAAATTAATTAAATAATAGAATACGACATTTCGTTTGCAACACGAGCAGTCGTCATCAGATAAAACTCAATTTGAGAGAGAGACAAAACACAGACACGGAGACGCACAGACAGACACACAAGCAGAGAGAGACTACACAGAGACACACTCTGTGTCTCTATGTTGTGTGTCTCTCTCTCTCTGTGTCTCTGTGTTGTCTCTCTCTGCTTGTGTGTCTGTCTGTGTCTCCGTGTCTGTGTTTTGTCTCTCTCTCAAATTGAGTTTTATCTGATGACGAAACGTTGTATTCTATTATTTATTTTATTTTCTTTCTACGTGACTTTACCGAAAGAACCAAAGAGTAGTTGTCCCTTTCTTTCAGCCTTTGTTCTTCATTGCAAGTTTATTTCTATACGCCTTAATGGTTATTACAGCACGCACATTTGTTCAGGTATTGATTACATTTAACATACAACTCAAATCACCCATAGCATTGTGTTGCTTTTAAATAATTGAAACCTATGCACACTGATGTCCATTAATGTGAGATCACTTTTAAGTGCTCCGAGGCAACGTGTATGAAGCTTTAAGCTGTGCTCTTGAACTTTAGTGTATTCGGAGTGTTTGTTGCTCTACGGCGTGACGGCTGGATTCTAGGTTCGACAGCAGGTGAATCAGAGGAAGGAGCTTGGAAGACGCAAGCATGCAGTGGCTGTAATCTGGGCACACTGGACAGGGCACAAGGTGGTGTAGCTGCAAAGCTGTATGCTTTGTTCTGCTATGTTTTACTGTGCTGAGCTCACGTGTATGTTGCTGTGCTGTTCTATGCTGCTGCTGCTGCCGCCGTGGGCTGTTCTGTCCTTTGCTTAGCTCTGCTATGCAATATTAAAATGCGCTGTGCTTTGCCGTGCCATTCTTTGCCTCACTGTGTTGACCTTGTTAGTCATTGCGTAGACTCCAGTGAGGTTTGTGAAAACCACAAGTGTTTCTTTTTTATGGAATAACTTGCACCATAAATAATGTAATGCACCTGACTCCCACACAGCAACTTGCCCCTGCAGATAAGCAGTTTGATATTCTGACACCTTCGAGGCAACAAGTTCCAACTAAAATGTAATAGCATTCTTTGCTTTCAGCCGACCTGGTGTTTTGTATTGCAGGTGTTTTGTATGTAAACATTGACACTTGAGTGCTCATCCAAGCTCTTGTTTGCCCTATAATGCTTTCCCATACATACATGTGGATTGGAGGCAAGGTGGCTCTGTATTAATCAAAACACTTCGACAAAACACTGTGCAGGTGTGATTGGTCTACGGGATCGCACTGGTTAAATTAGTGAAGAGAACGTTCCACCTTTTGTAGGAATTCTCTCGGATGCAGATGTGTGTAAGGTATAAATCGCACAACCAGAGGGCTGCTGATGTGTTGGGCTGGGCTATTACTTACACTGTGGAGGAAATGCTGATGTAGGGATCCCCTTAAGAATGTGCATCCATGCAGTTGACATCACCTCGCATGCAGGCATTGCTTCAGCCTAGTGCATTGACTTTTGGCAGTCATGTGAGGTCCATCAAATAAAAAAAAACTTGAACAAATTGTGGGGTCCTTGAACAGCATTATCTCTGTATTTAACTTCCTTTGTTAATCTAAATCCACGTGTGTGTAAGCATAGTTAATGTTATGTCAATACAAACATTACTTTTCTGTACACTAACCAAATAACAATTCCTAACCTTGTTTTCTTTTTCAGGACATTTGCATGCTTTGTGACAATACCAATTTCAAGTGCGTCATATTGTCAACAGTTACATTTTCTTTGCAATGTGGGAGAAGGTTGACTGATGTTAACCGACAGATTTAAATCCACGGAGATAAAAAAGAAAGTGAACGGATGCCACCACTAAATAATTTAATAAATAGCGTTGCCATTTTGCATGAGAATGCAAGTTGGTCGGCAAAGTACAAACATAAAAAAGAAAAGGCAATATGTGAAACCACAAATCAACAGCTTTCAATTTAAATCATGCAATGGAGAGGCAGATGAGAGCAAGGTTGGATGCTTTTTCAAAACTCAGTTTGATGATGAAAGGCAACAAAACCATGTGCCTGGAGAATGAAGTTTACATTGCATATTACTCACTCGTCATTAGAAATAGATCAGCAACATGAACCCGGACAAAGGAAATATAACGGCAATCTGTAAAGTATGCAGAGAGCCATGCAGCAATGCATGCTTGAAATTACACTGAGAGAAAGACACAGATTAGGTAATAAATGCAAAATAGATGCATCGTATTGACCGGTCTGGAAAGTAAGTGGGCTTGTGCAGGACACTTCATGAGAATGCATGATAGCCGATAGACGAGACCAGTTGTGGAATGGGAGCCAAAGGAGCAAACACGCTTGAGGTGATGAGCACCATTGAGATTAAGGGAATGAGGCGAGCTTACATGCACATCGCAAGACTGAGGCAGGGCAACAGGGTGGGGAGGCCTTCATCCAGCAGTGGATAAACCATAGCTAATGATCTACACTATGGGAACCTCATTTGCCAGTAAAAATATGATAATTGGTTTTTTACCCTTCTATCTGGCAACAAAACTGACACCTTTTTACAAGGAGTCATGTTTGCATAGACCGCAATACCTGCAGTCATAATACAAACAAAAGAACATAACTCTGATAATGTGCACTGTCCTTGAAGTTTATTGGTCCACACCCGAGACAGCTTTCCTTAGAGCCTAGTCTCACATGGGTTGGCGTCATCTGGTCCAACCCATGTGAGACTAGGCTCTAAGGAAAGCTGTCTCGGGTGTGGACCAATCAACTTCAAGGACAGTGCATATCATTATCAGAGTTATGTTCTTTTGTTTGTATTATGACTGCAGGTATTGCGGTCTATGCAAAGATGACTCCTTGTAAAAAGGTGTCAGTTTTGTTGCCAGATAGAAGGGTAAAAAACCAATTATCAAAGCTAATGATGTTGAATGTGTTCCCATACAACATTATATTTATTTACCAACTCCTGTGGGATATTGCAGTGTACATTGGACGGGTAATATTCTATTACAACTCAAACGTAGTTGTGAATTATCATTATACTGGAGTTGGGATAAACACCATGACTTGGTGACACAAAATGGTGACATATTTTCCTCAGGCTCTATACAGTCATAACATCCACTAAGAATAAGCATTTCTCAGGCCCTACACTTCACAGAACATTTATCACGTACATAATATATATTTGAATTGTGTTTTTTTCTTCCAGGCATGGACCACTGACTAATGCCCGTTTAAAACATTTATCAAATGGAATCCATACATTTATCGTACACATATGCATACACTTATGTATTTCATGCCCATAGTTGCATTGGCATTTTGACTCTATAACACAAAGCTCTATCATATGGTACAAGACTGCGATGCACACAGGATATTGAAAAACGAGGATGCACTGAATTCATTGTGCATTCTGTAACCTGGAATAAATTATGGAGCCATGTGACTCAGTGGTTCCATCATTTTCATGCATGGAAAATTACAAGTCACACAAAAATCCGCCTCTATTTGTCTCGTCAGATAATTGGTAATTGGTGGTGTGTGTAACACTTGCTTACCATACTCTTTGATTATTTCGGTAAAGCCACGTAGGTAGAAAAAAAAATAGATCACAACGTTTCGATCGCCACACAAGCAATCGTCTTCAGGTGGGAGAGAGAAACAGGCTGCTGAAACAAGTCCTGATTATATATCGTTGAGAGGGGTGGGGGGGGTGCCAGCATCGAGCAAGAGGGTGGGGGCTAGAGATTGTGCCTAAGCAAGTGGGAAACGATAAGATGGGAACTGAGATGGGCGGGGGGGGTGATGCGAGAGCTGCCAGAGCTGAAGAGGTGGCCATTGTATTGTGAGAGATTAGCATTATGAGATCTCTTTTACCAGTGAAAAAATATAGTAGTAGGTTTTTACCCTTTTAAACTGGTACAAAATTGACACCTTTATTCAAAGCATCATGTTTGCAATGACCACAACAAAAGTAGTCTAAAAAGCAAACAAAAAGAAGCAACTCTGATAATGATAATAATATGCACTGTCCTTGAAGTTGATTGTACCAGTTTAAAAGGGTAAAAACCTACTACTATATTTTGCCACTGGTAAAAGAGATCTCATAGTGTAAATGCTTACCCCAAGCTCTCAATACTCTGATATTGCACTGTGTTTGAGTTGTACGCCTTCTGGTGTCATCTGGTCCAACACCAATGGGGACTAGGCTCTAAAGAAAGCCGTCTCGGGTGTGGACCAATCAACTTCAAGGACAGTGCATATTATTATCATTATCAGAGTTGCTTCTTTTTGTTTGCTTTTTTGACTACTTGTGTTGTGGTCATTGCAAACATGATGCCTTGAATAAAGGTGTCAGTTTTGTATCAGTTTAAAAGGGTAAAAACCTACTAGAGATTAACATGTCAATGTAAACGAACCGATTTAAAGCTTTCGTGACTGCAGGGATTCATCTTCTTGGTTCTTGCGGTAAAGTCACGTAGAAGGGAAATCCTGCATACTGCATAATGCACGGGCATAATATGACTTTGAAACCCCCCCCACCTCCTACGCATTCCACAAGTAGTGACTAATCCCATATCTGCATTTCCCATAAATATGCAAAATTCCTCTTGATATGCAAATTCCTTTGTTAAGGCGCCCCTTCCCCCTCCAACCGAGCTTAAATATACGCTGCCAAGCCTGGTTGTGCCCATTCAGACACTGTCTTTCCGACAGACCTGTTCTTCACCTGAGGACGGCTGCTTGCGTTGTGGCCGAAACTTCGTGATAATTATTTTATTATGTTTTATTTTCATTATTTTATTATCTCCCTTCTACGTGACTTTACCGAAAGAACCAAGAAGATAAACGAACCGAAGCAATGGTGGCTGTGCTTACTAACTTTCGCCTTGCTTGTTAGTTGAGCCCACGTGTCTCCCCAAGAAAGAGTGATAGTGGATTATTGTAGTGTTGCCAGACGCACTGTGTTCTGGCGAAGGAACAGCAATTTCAATCCTTTTAGCTGCTTCTAAGAATCGCTCTTGTCAACACGTGTACCCCGACCCCTGACCCCAACACACCTGTGCAGGTGCGGAAGGCGCATCGGAAGCACTTCAAAGTAAATGCCGGCAAGAGGATTTACGATTTCATGATTCTCTGCATCGTGAGTACAAGCCCAAGTGACAGTGTAACCATTGTAAACTTCTGATCCCAGCAACTTGGGTTCAATTTACAGTTATGGAAAATGTCAGTGACATGTGGTTGCTGAACCTATCCTGCCCTCTCTGTGCTTTAATGACCTAAATAGGTTTTCATTAGCAATGCTTTCATATATAATCTATAGAGCATTGTCTTGTGTGTGCACATGCGTGCACATTTATGCCCAATATGATGTTGATAATTACAATGTTCCATGGCTTGGATTTGATTCTTAGCTGTTCAGATAAAGAGAATATATGTTGGTAGCAATATCTGGCATAAATACATTCTGTCTTACTTTAATTATTTTCATAAGCAACTTCAAGGTCCAATTCTCTTGACATCAATTGTAAATGACCATATTAATGCTTTATCATTTGTTTGCACCCAAAATGAAAATTAATTAAAACATTATTCCAACGTGTGCGTATATATATATATTTCAGGCCCCATTCAGAGCTCAAAAATTAGAAAAAATACTCAGAGGTAATAAATGAACAGCTGGGAATGTTTGATAGTAAGCGGTGAAAGTGCCCTTCCCCTTCCTGAGATGTGATCTCTCCCATCGTTTGTGGGCAGATGAGGCGATACTTCCTGCGTCTGCGGGACTCACTGCCCAAGCTGTCTCCCACGGATCGCAAGTGGCCTGCCTACCCCAACATGTTCCTGGTGCCTGCAGACCAGGAGCTGCGACGCATGCACCACCTGTGGAGGGTCAGTGCCGCACGTACACAATATGCTTCGCAGCTGGCTGATCACTCAGTTGGAAAATACAAAACTCTTTTTTTTTTACCGAGGTATAAAGTCCAAAACCTGAGTTCCATCTTCTTGAGTTCCAGTGAAACCCCGATTATCCATGGCCCGATTATATGCAACTCGCATTTCCGCAGCTCAAAATTGATCTATAAAAAACTTCTGTTATCCATTCATTGATTCTCCCTATTATAAGTGATTCTTCCCCAGATAAGAGTGGTGACTTGGCAGCAGCGGTTGTTTGTTGGCACTATATTCACTCTACAGCGAAGCCTCTCAGAGCACGGACTCATTGAGATGTGATGATTACACCACTTCAGTGTCGGTGCTTATTCTGCAGATGTCGGAATAGTTTGGATTTTTTGGAATTCATATTTACGATGCAGTAATTCATTGCAATTGTCCACTCATTTATTTAGTACGCAATGCTCAAAAGGACAGAATTGGAAGTAATTTTTTTGTGACCATTGCTGCACACTGTGTAATTACAATAATAATTAAGATCCTCAACGTTTATTAACAGGTAAATTGACTATTTTTTTTATGCTGTCAACTTTTGTCACCTCTTTTGGAAGCCTCAAATTGGGTAGTGTACAAACACACATAACTGTAGGCGAATATATCTTTCTGTCAGCATTCACATTATGTCTATTGCCAAAGGCTACTAAGGTATTCGATGGAACAGCAGGGACTTAAACATTTTCCAACAGCTAGCTAGACTGAGTCACATGCTTCCATATGCCGGCGAGTGGTTAGTGTCGCGGTTTGTGTGCTGCTCTACGAATCCGGCGACCCGAGTTCGATTGCCGCTCATGGTCAACACCAGTGACTATTATCTAAACCGGTCCTGGGCCTCCCCTAGTTCAAATGAGTATCTGGTGCAGTGTGTAAACATCGCCACTAGGGCGACAAATGCTGCCGGGCATGGTTCTGTCCACCCCCCTTGTGTGCTGTTCCAGCCTTTATAGATTCTCACTATAACAGTACTTGCCCCAACAGTCTGTTAAGGCTATACGGGGGATCTTTGTCTGTGTCTACAGTGCAAGGTCTACCGCAGCAAGTTTGACGACAAGAAGAAAGCCATCTTCGAGGAGAAACTGTCTGCTAGTGAGCTCTTTAAAGACAAGAAGGATCTCTACCCAACCACGTGCGTGTGACCACAACGTCCTGGACACTATTTATTTTTTTCCCCTAGGGGTTCATTTGCCACTTTCTTTTTACCCAGGGTCATTAAACCTCTGTTTTTCATACAACCATTATGGTATATACAGTGCTGGCCAGTGGGTGAATCTATTGGTGTGGCACAGAAGCCAACATTGGTGGGGGACATAAGCCAGCAAGGGTGGGATGAGGGGCGAGGGGTCACAGGGCAAAGGAGGGAGTTGTGGGTCATGCGTATGCCGTTTATAATCTTCATAACATGCAGGAAAGTATTTTTTTTCACACCACTGGCACCCAAACGACGGGCCGTCATCGGGTATATATCGAGCAATGGTCCTATGAAGATCTTCGATGTATTTTGATGTTTGAATGTGTATTGTCAATCTTTAATAATTGTATACTGTTGCAAGGAATTGTACTTTGTGTGGTGTATTTTCCCATGAGTGAATTCGATTCCAAGTGCAGCATCTTACAATTGGTTGTCCTCTAGAATGTTCCTCCACTCATCTTCCATTCACTAGTTTTCTATTGGTGAACCCTAGCGGCCATTTATATTGTTGCAGTGCAATACATTGTCAATAGCTCAACAACTTCCTACCAATTTGTTCAACATGGATGAATTGGCTATATGCCCTCCTAAAAATATAAGACCTGCCACCTGCAGTATTTTGAACATTATTTTGATTCATATGTAAACAATTTTACAGGCACAATAATGGAATTTGTAGTGCAAAAAATAATAATATCATATTCAGTATATCCAGGCAAGCCTCACTGGGTCTCACTACTCTACTCTTTTGCAGGAGATTCCTGCTTTTGGATATTTGGACATATTTATTTGGCAATTATTGTTTTACATGTGGGATAAAACTAGACAATCCAGAGTAACCCGACTCATACGAGGGGATAACACTCAGATATCCACACAGGTGAGTCAGGACGCAATCAATGGCTGTTGCGTGTTTCTGGCCACCCATGGCGGTTTCACAACTAACGCCTCTATAGAGCTGGATTATATGCACGCAACAACCACGGCCCGAGAGCATCACGTTACCTCTGTGTTGGTCACCTTCCACTGCACAGGGTGCCGCAGCCCTTCAAGGGCACTTACCTGGATATGACCAAGTACGACAAGCTCGCCACCGCGGTGCCAGGCCCGCACATCTTTGCCGAGAGTATTTTGAAGATCAACCGAGGCAACGGAAAGGTGAAGTTGTTGGCGCCTTATCGGTTGTCGTACTTCAGGCACGGGTTGCTGCTTCAGTGAACACAGCATTTTCAAGAGTTGCGCACCGATTATTTATTGTTTAAGTACCATCGATTGACTTTGAATATTAGCATTAATGAAAGTACCTTGAGCGTGTGAGCACTGTTGTGAATGGTTGTTCGCGGTCTTGCATTTTAGGGTTCACCACGTCTGGTGGTGCTCACAAAGAAGAATCTGTTTCTGACAGACAAGTCGGGGCAGGTGAAGTCGGAAATTGCTTTGAAAGAGGTCACGGGTCTCTCTCTCAGCAGTCTAACAGATGGCCTGCTGGCTCTACACTTAAAAGAGGTATGCATGCATGTCTGTACTTGTGTATGTGCATGTGCGCCGAGGTCGACTGAGCTTCAATTAGTATGTGGTGTGGTGTAAACATCACCACTAGGGAGACAAAGGCGGCCGGGCGTGGTGTTGGCCACCCACCCCCTCGTGTGCTGTGCCGGCCTTCATAGGTGCTCGCTAACAGCACTTGCTCCAACAGTTTGTTAAGGCAATACGGGGGATCTTTGTCTTCGTTTGATGTACATGTGCAGCTAGCTGGGCACAAGCGCTGTGGTTACATCAACGTTAATTACTGGCATTTGCTGCCTGTTGTTGTTAATAGAGGTTAACTTTATGTTTTTATATTTTATTACATTGCATTTTTTTTATTTTATATGTATGTTGATCTTCTTTTGCACCCTACGTTGCCAACCGTGCTAATCGGAGATGTGTATGCATAATAACAGTCACTGGTGATGCCAGTTCTCCATATGAGTGCATGTGTGCAGATGTCAGTGGGATTAACGCAATTAAAAACTCAAGGTTGTACACAGTATATATGTCAATTCACCTCTTTTGACCAACTCGCGGCTAAAATAAACACTGCTAAGGTATGTTTGTGTATTTGTGCGTATGTATGCAATTGTGGAGAGCGGTAGAGTAGCAGTTAGCACACTGTGCTGTGAACGCAGCAACCTGAGTTCAATTACGGCTCACGGTCAACATCATTAACGATGATCAGAACCCCTCCTGGGCTTCCTCTAGGTCGACTCAACCTCAAATGAGTACTTGGTGTGATGTGTGAACATCGCCACTAGGGAGAAAAAGGTAGCCGGGCATGTGCTGTCCACCCACCCCCTCGTGTGCTGTGACAAGCTTCATAGGTGCTCGCAAACAGTACTTTCCCCTACAGTCTGTTTATGTTATACGGGCATCTTTATCAATGTATGTAATATTCTTGGTTCTTTCGGTAAAGTCAACTAGAAGGGAAAAAATAAAACAATAAAAATATAAAACAATATATTTGTATTGTTTTATTGTTTCCCTTCTACGTGACTTTACCGAAAGAACCAAGAAAATGAATCCCTGCAGTCACGAAAGCTTTAAATCAATATGTATGTAATGTTAAAGACCATCGCAATGCCTCCTTCCACAGGGCACCACGGCAGCGGGCAAGGGCGACTTTGTACTGAGCAGTGAGCATGCAATAGAGCTCATCACCAAGATTCATCGTGCGGTCATGGCGAGCAACAAAGAGAAAGTGGAGATAAAAATCTCCAACGAGTGAGTTACTTCACTACGGCCGCTCAGCAGCCCACAGTTCCCTGGGTAACTTGGCCAACTGCGTGACATACGTTGTAGCTTATTATTGTGTGGTAATGCATGTGTACCATCGCTGTCGTACCTTTGTTGTTCGCAGGTTTCCAGTGATTTTTAAGGAAACGCAAGTCAACGTAAGGATTTCCCCGTCGGGCCAGAGCAACGGAGCTAAGCTGGTGTGCAAGCGGAAGGGCACGGGACTGGAGGTCGCCATCTAGAACCTCAGCTGCCACATCATCTCCTCTTCACACCCGACTGTCGCCCCTCATTTTTCCCCATTCCCATTGCATCAAAGCTGGCAGATTTAAGTCAATGCTAACAGAGAGGGCCATAACGAGGTCTTATTTTTTTAAGCAAATGCATTAAGCAGGGATAGATTGTCAAGGTGCCACATGAAGAAATGTCTACTGAGATGGTTTTTTTTGGAGTTAGTATTGAAGTCCGAATTACTATGGTAAATGGTTAAACAGCAAAGGCCCTGTCTTTTGCACATACACAGGGGTGCCTTTTAAAGTTTCTGCCACGGTTTACATAGAAATGAACGGCAAGGGAGCATTGAAGTGAAAATTTAAATGGTAGTGCCCTCCACAACTGTCCTGTCGAGACATTTGTAAATGATGGATAAAGAATGACATGTAATCATATAAAATGTCTATTTTTGAATCGTTTTCTAAACGTTGATAGGCAAAATATTATGAAAAGTAGATGCATTTACATAGCTATTGCAAACTCAAATGTCTTTTCAGAACAAACTGCTATTGACATTTTAAAAATGAGGGCTGTTTCTAAAAAATGCCAAATTTAAGTCATGTAAAGGTTCATGTGTTTTTTATTGGATGTAATTCTGATTTTATGTAGATGTAAATTAATTTTCATTGCCTATTTTAAGTTGAAAACATACGTTGAAAAACATATTGAATAAAGTGTATGATGACTCTTATTGAAGATAGTAATGTACTTGATAGAAACTTGCTGCCAGTTTCACATTGTTCACTTGTTACTGATGAAGATTTACTCAATGATTAGTACCATAAGTCGTATTACTGGTACCATAATTGGTATTACTGATGTAATAATTAAAATGTTGAACTATTATGGATACGTTCAGAATGTTTCGTTGGATAAATACAGTACGGTTAATATTTCTTTATTAACCTAACAATTGCAAAATTAAAGTTATTTTACGAATACAGTACAGCCGTTGGTCACGTGATGTTCTTTTGCTCACAGTATTGGGGAACTTTTAACATTTATAACATGGTATCAGCTTAACACCTGAAGATAGCTACATATCTGCTGTGGTGGATGCCAGCACATTGAGTTATTGATGATAGTTGGGATGAACACGTTTTAGAACGAGATTTCTAGTGATGCAGTACGAAGAAACACATGTGGTGTTTGGAAGAAACATTTTTTACATCCGTGTATTTTTTTTGGGTTATGCAATACCAAATAGAAACTGAACAACAAAATTTTTTGGATTAAGTTGACAATGCACCACCCTATAAAATTAGCAGTGGTGTCTTAAGACATGCAGAGAATTTCCCTGCTAATACAATGAAGCAGCTTCTTGGTTCTTTCGGTAAAGTCACGTAGAAGGGAAGTAATAAAATAATAAAAATAATATATTATTTTTATTATTTTATTACTTCCCTTCTACGTGACTTTACCGAAAGAACCAAGAAGATGAATCCCTGCAGTCACGAAAGCTTTAAATCGACAATGAAGCAGCTTTTGCCCCCCTTGTAATACCTCTTTGAGTCCTTGATGGAAGTGTAAGATTGTTATGAAGTCGATCCAATTTGTGTGTTTACTCTCAAACGCACAGGTGTGCAGAAGTAGTGACTAATTGGCACGTTGTGTTTACGTGACAATCTTTACTAATTGGCCGTGTCGGGTGGTGGCGGGTTTCATGACACATTCATATTTACACGATATATCCCACAAAACCCTTTATTATGGATATGGGTTGCAAAAGCCTTCGTGTTAAGTTGACCCTTGACTGGCATTTGAACCCACAGTGTTTAGTGATGTTGACCAAAGTGCAATGCAGTTAAAATAATAATATTTGGTATGTTACCTGAGCATTACATATTAAGTATATCAACATTCTGGAACAATATTGAAAAGGCCAAAACACATAACGTTGTCTCTTTTCTGTTATTGGTGATGCGTATATATTCTCTAAAGTGTACATAATTCTACTTTGAACTCCACCATGGCGTTGATCGTTTTGTTTTTCTCAAAAAAAAATATTAATGTTCTCGCATGATTTGAAATGTAACATTTGTTATACACTATATAGACTAAACATTTAACTATTGTTCACCAGTTGGCATACTATCACATTTCCTATCAAGCTAGATATTTAATCACAATGCATAGTTTAAATTTCACTTTGTTTATTACATTGCAAATACCTTTAGTTTACATTCGCATTACTTACTAAGAAGATATGTGTTTTTGATTTAACAAAATTAGTAATTACTATGGAAGCTAACTTAATATGCTCACAACAATCAATTGCTTAATTTTTCAGATTTTAGTTCCAAGAGATAAAAAAGCATTTAGCTTCCATAATAAAGCATTTAGCTTTATTATACAGTTGTAACATTACAGAATGCTATGCAATTATGAGCCATTGTACACAACACGTGAAAATGTGCCAAACACTTTTGACAAAACATAAATTTTTCCTACAATTTGGCTGTGAAGATAATGTGGTTTTAACATTCTATTTTTTTAAAAACTTAACAGAATGTTTTATGTTCAAATATATAATGCATGCTCGGTGCTTTCATGGTTTGTCATTTGTTATTTTCATATGCTTATTTTATTTGGATACCCCTACTGATGTTAACTGTAATTCCGGTCAAATGAATCACAGTTCTAGAATGGTTTTATTCATTTCAAGGTCTAATTTTTCTCATTTAAATAGTTACACTCTTGTCACGGCCCCATTGTAATGGTCAATAGAAACAACAAGGTAAGGATCACAACACTATCTCACAGGCAAATGTTCGATAAAGTAGAAACAATATTTCAAATACTACCACATGAATGATAGCGGTCTATGGCTAAGATTGCAGCGCATGGACATGGTAGTCGTGCCCGACACTGTGCCTGGCCATCTTTACTGCATCGAAGTGATAAATGTGGCATCAGATGCCAGTCGAGATGTACTTAGTTTCCAGGGCATATGAGACATTGGAGCTGAATTGCATTGCACAATATTATTAGTGCAGCAAACACAAATGGGCAGTCTTTAACTTCCCAAAATAATTAAACATACCATATACCGTTTTGAATCCAGTGCTGTATTAAAATATGTTATTATTAAGTCTGTCCCTTCATAATACGCCTGCTTAAGATGTGTGATTTGATCAATGCCAAGTGGTATCTGATTTTATACACCATAAGTGCATACTATTTCTCACTTTACAGTGCCCTGCGATGTGTCCCATAGTCATTTCTGCTGAGTAAACTTGCTGATTGTTCACTATGCTGTAATAAATGCTGGTGATGTACTGTGCCTATACTGCCAGGTTTTAGCAACACACGCTGGCACACTGGTTTTGACTGCACTGCAGGGACGTATCGTGAATGCTGCAGTAACTGCAATGGGTCTGGTTCTTACTCTGAAGGCCCTTGAAACCTCATACAAGGAAGGGAATTGTCCGCAGATGTTCTTATGGCGAAGCACATTGCATAGATATTTCAGCGAACGAAATTGCTGACAACCCACACACTGCATCGTATTCTTCGTACAACAAATTAATTTGTGGGATCAAATGTTTTTTAAAATTATAATTCGAATTTAATGAATAGCGTTTATTATTGCACTTTTGTGAAATTGTCTTCTCTTGGGATTGCTAATAGTGCAGGCCACGGGCCACCCTACTGAGCTCACCATGCAGCACGAACAAGGCTGGGCCGCGGGGTTGCAGTGCATCGTGCATTGAGCGTCAGCATTTATCTCTTGAATGGTACTCAATTCTTAACCAATTTTAAAGTCAATGTCAAGAGATTAGACGTAATCTAATGCCCAAATATCTAAAATATTTAGGTATATATGTATATACCTACATTGGTCTCGTATATTTTATTGTTGTTGTAACTTTGTCCATTGACCTTAATATTGGTTGTAAATGAGCATCCATAATACTGTATTCTATGTTTTATGTTAGTTAAAATTGTAATACTTTTAAGGAAATGTTATGTATGATTAAATGACAACACATCAAGGTAATTTTTTTCCCATAGTTTAACATGTTTCCGCATGTCATGTTGATCTACTTTGGTGAAAATGAGATCCCCATGAATCGTGATGAAAATTATTCAATTAATAGTTGCGTAAATGTTGTTTTCTTTATACAATGTGTGAATTGTTGTAATACTGTGTAATTTGAAAATACAGCTAGTATATGACAGTATTGCCTGGACCTTTTTACACCTGGAGTATGGTTTGACTGTGAAAAACGTGAACGGGCATGCGTTGTATGTTTTTGGCGGCAATGGGTTTATCAAATTATCATTAGCAAGGTTGGCAATGTACGGTGCAAAATAAGTGCCACATACATGCGTAGTAATTTTCTGCGCGACACTTAAAAAATAATTATTCCAAACAGCTATATAATTTGAGTGTTTTTGGCAGTGACTGCTGTTAAATATCTGTATTTCAGATAAGTTTGAACTATGGACGATAACACCAAGTGCTGTGTTTTGTAATTGGACTTAAATTTTCTTGCTGTGGTTTTCACACCTGATGATGATTGCTTGTGTTGCAATCGAAACGTCGTGAGAATTTTATTGTTTTATTTTTATTATTTTATTGTTTTTTTCCCTTCTACGTGACTTTACCGAAAGAACCAAGAATGTCGTGTTTGATTCTTAACAATATTTTGTTACTTTACTTTTATAGCCCACTTTTAACTTGCTTTCATAATTTTTAAAAATAATTTAGAAATATTAATTCTGAAACGGTAACTGCATTTATGAGGTCTGCTTGCCAAACTCCACTTGTAAAAATGCGTATGATTTTGGCCATAGTGGCGGTGTAGTGGGCAGAGCTTAAGTGCCACATTGTGATGATGTGTGTAGATATAGAAATCCACATCTCTTCGTGAAAGCAGCAAGTCAATGCTTGTGGAAATTTTACTAATTTTACAATAGTGGTATTTAATACATTTCTCAGTTGAGGGGGATTAATTGTGAATAGGTTGGAGCAGTAGAGTAGTGGTTAGCGTGCTGTGCTGTGAACCCAGCGAAACGAGCTTGTTTCTGGCAATGGCTAACATTCATAGCGAGAGGTATCTGAACCGGTCCTGGGCCCCCCTTCACCAAACTGCACTGACCAGTATGGTGAAATATGGTCGGGTACAGCTTGGGAAGGCCCTTAGCAATAGATTAACAGAGGTCTGTACATTATTACGTACATATTGTGCACCGTTTAATTTGGGTGCAATTATAAAGTTCTTTAAGACCTACTAGTACAGAAGGTTTCCTTGTTTTATAAGGAATGGAAATCTGAGTCCTTTTGTTAACTATTTCATGATAGTGTGCAGCTTTTGGATGATGGTGATGAAATGAAGATGGATGAGTGGTACATGGCAGTGATTGATGATATTTGAAGGTTCTATTGTCGTAGATCTTGTAATAGTTGTGGGGGGAAATGAATGAATGGTTTTGTGTTGCTGCTTCTTCGTGATTTATTTTCAAATAAATATAGCAAATAAACATTAAAAATTTCGATTTAAAGCTTTCGTGACTGCCAGGATTCATATTCTTGGTTCTTTCGTTAAAGTCACGTAGAAGGGAAATAATAAAAATAAAACAATACAATTCTCACGACGTTTCGGCCACAACGCAAGCAGCCGTCCTCGGTTGAAGAACAGAGCTGTCGGAAAGACAGCGTCCTCATGTTGTCTTTCCGACAGCCCTGTTCTTCACCTGAGGACGGCTGCTTGCGTTGTGGCCGAAACGTCGTGAGAATTTCATTATGTTTATTTATTATTATTTTATTATTTCCCTTCTACGTGACTTTACCGAAAGAACCAAGAATGTGAACATTTAAAAGTTTCATGACGAAAGCTGTGCCTCCGCATAGTTTTGTTTCATATCTAACCTGTTTAACAGTATAAACATGCATCGACATGTTTGTGCTGCAATAATGTTATCGTCACGAATAGCGTTGTGGCTGTTGGCACTGGACCATTTGGCTCACTGCTGTCAGGGCGCGTGCAAAGCATCCAACAGCTGTCAGTGTCAGGTCTCCACTATAACGCAAGCGATTGAGCAGTGCACTGAATGATAGTGCTTGTATGCCTACTATGAATGACTTCATCATACAAGCTTGCATGTGTTATTAGTTGTCACAATTAGGCTATGCCAGGACAGGCACACTGTCACGCATATGATTTTGTTAATCGAAACAAGCTTCTGTTCACGACATTAATCAATAGATATAATTAATATAATACCTGAGAATAGGTTTTCACCAGAGCCTAGTCTCAAACAAGGTTAGACCAGAGGTCTATAACACCAACGTCGCTGAAAAATACCGTGTATTATTAAGAAGTAAACATTTGTACCAATGCGTCTAACAGCGCGAATGTTCCAATAGTGGCTCTTACAAGACAGACACAGCTGAGTGTATCCCGCCACCTGGTGGAATTCTGTGAGCGATGCTGACAGGGAACTCAATCCTTAGGGCACAGCGTGGCCAATGAACACATTCCTGCGGAGGGAGCTGGGAGGAACGTTGGGTTGCTCGGTCAATTGCCCGACTGTGAGGGCGGGCACAAGCCGGCGTGAGTAGGTAAAACGTTGAGTTTTATAAGGGCACCACGGGGTGACCAGCCCATCCCTACCCAGCTACACCCTCCCCACCCAGCCCCACCCCTCCCACCCCCCACCCAGCCCCACCCTCCCCACCCAGCCCTTCCCCACCCTCCCTACCCAGCCCCTCCCCACCCTCCTCACCCAGCCCCTCCCCACCCTCCCCTCCCCACCCAGCCCCACCCTCCCCACCCAGCCCCTCCCTCCCCACCCAGCCCCTCCCTGCACGACGGACGGACACAATAATCCCCTGTGGGCTGGTGTAACCAGGAGGTTCCTACCAGTAAAACCAAACTATGGACCATTGGAAGTAAACAACTGGAGTTTTGCGCTCCTGCAATGGAGCAGGAACAGCAACACCACAGCGACTCTCTCCTGAAGCCATTGCGACGTGTCCTGCAGATATTCAGGAGCATCTAGCGCCGAGCTCCTGAATATATTGCTGCCATACGGAATAATATAGTACTACTGTACAGGGTAGTCCAGATATCTTGTGACCCCCAAATTAATTAACCCCGAACATTTTATCCTTTGCATATTAATGTGTTTTAAATAAACCTTACTTGAAAAAGATTAAGTTTTAGAGAATTATATGGGGGGGGGGGGGGGGGGGGTCGCAAGACATATGGGCCACCATGTACAGCAAAACAATACATGTGTTAAACTGTTATGAAAATTAATCACATTCATTGATGATATTTTCTTAAATATAATAGCATGCGTGCTAGACAATTCAAAACTTGTCCAACTTATAACCCTTACCTGTAAAGCGATATCTCATGCGCTGTTAAAGTGGCGCCTCGTTTTGGTTATTTGTCGGAATACTGGTACGGTGTTCATGACTCCACTTTACCTATTATCATCATCATCCTCTTAACTATGCTAAAGTGGTGCAAGTCACGGTTGTAGTATTAGCTATTAATTCTAGATTTGAAGCTTTCGTGACTGCAAGGATTCATATTCTTAGGGGTTTTTTTCGGTAAAGTCACGTAGGTAAAACATTAAAATTAATAAAAGTAAAATAAAATAAAAATCACGACGTTTCGGAGGCAACACAAGCTTCCGTCTTCAGGTGGAACCGTCACAGCCACGACAGCTGTATCAAGTGAATGAGAGATTGTAAGAGCTACCACTCCGTTTATATAATGGTTGGAGAGGGGGGAAGGGCCAAGTACGGCACACTTTTTATTCATATGGTAAGGTGAGGCTTAAGAGGGTGAGCCTTTGTTATGGAGAGGTACGGTTTGTGACTAAACCTGGTCTACCTAACAGTAGTGTGAAAATGAGAAAACAACTAAACATGGTAAAACAAGCCTGGCTGTCTATCAATAACCTGTAATAGTTGTCTGTCAAATAAGATTGGCCAAATAAGTGTAGTTAAATCTTTTTTGCATGGTTAATCACATCTTTCCAATGATTACTCAGTTTGTAACCATCATCACGGTTGAAATTATATCTATTGTCGGTGCAGGCGCAGCCCTGCAAGTGCAGCGCTCTACGCAACTTGGTAAGATGTGCGAGCAGCCACACTTTACCCCATCTACACGTGACCTGCCGATCGACTAAGGGGCCGTCCATAAATGACGTCACGCACCTAGGGGGGGGGTGGGGTGGGGTCAGACATTTGTGACGATGTGTGACGAAGGGGGTTTTGAGAAATGTGACGTCACATCAAAATGCGCAGCTTTAAATAAATATAGACAACACGTTCTACTTAATTAAATATACTTTTTAATAAATGTTTTCTCCTACAACATTAGTGTGCAGCGCCACATTAAATACCCACTACAATGACAATAGTTGAAAGCGATTCGAAGCATGTTTTTTTTTCGGGGTGGGGAGGGGCAGAGCTTTGTGACGTCATATTTGAGGGGGCGGGGGTGTCTGACTTTTTCTGACGTCGTGTGACTAGGTGGGGGGGAGGGTCAAACATCGTCCAAAATCGCGTGACGTCATTTATGGACGGCCCCTAAACTGCTGCTCTCTGTTGGGCGGAATAAGATGCGGGAAGATTTTAAGAAGCTTGCACCGTCGTCTCAACTGCCACGCCGGGAGATCGAACTGGCGCGAAGACATTGCACTGTGGCAGTGACTCATGCAGCCAGCTATGGCTGCCGGGGTTGGTGGTACATGTTGTTTATGTAGTTTATTGTGAATATTCGGTCACAGTTCTTATGATCACTGTTACGTTGCTTTTATGGCTTTATTTTGGTGATTTCGGAAATGTTTTTGGTTTGGCCATGTTTGTTTGTTGTAGTACTACGGAGTTAGACTGATGGCCTTAATTTAAGTTGTCTTGTGGTTGTTGTTTGACTTGCATCCCACTGGGATTTTTGCACACAGCGTTGGTGTATGGTGCTTTTTTCTGTAATTTTTGCTGTTTTTTTCTTGGATTTTCTGTTTGCACATAGTCACATAGTCATACTCTTAGGTTTTTTTCGGTAAAGTCATGCAGGTAAAACATTAAAATAATAATATTTTATTTCTATTATATAAATAATAATATTTTATTTCAATGATTTTTATTATTTTTAAATAAAAATAATAGAAATAATAATATTTTATTTCTTTTTTTTTTACCTACGTGACTTTACCGAAAAAACCTAAGATTATGAATCCTTGCAGTCACGAAAGCTTCAAATCTAGGGTCACACAGTCACTTTAAGATGTTTTCTTGTTCATGTTTTTGTTTTTTATTTGTTGCGGTTGCACCCGATTCATGAGCCGAATGGCTCACAGGGCTATACCTAATACATGAACTTGAACTCTTCTAGTTTTGTTTAATTTGCAAACGGCGTTAATAATTACGACCACCTCGCTCACCGCTCTCCATTCATTCAAATCTGACGTTGCTGCGGTCAGCACGCCGGGGTCGAATCGATTCCCGACGATTACGTCCCGTCCAACGCACGAGCTTCGATTCCGCTTGTAAAATAACAGCCAAGGAAGAGTCGAACCTCTGAATCGAATCGATTAGTCGGCTATATAAGACGCGAGGATAATCGCGAGCCCAGTGCCGGGTGCTGTCGCTTGGGGGTAAGGCGGCCGACCGTGGTGGTTCGAGTCGTAATAAACTTTATAGCGAGACTTAAATAATAACAACAACAACGACGACGACGCGTCTCTCATCATAACTACATCCGAGTCGCACAGCCGTGCTCATGCCGTGTTTTGCTATTATGCTTTCGCGTTGCGTTTGCAGTTGCGTAATGCTTTGGAGCGAATCGCTTAGGTTATTGCGCCATCTCGTGTGTGTTGTGTGTGTGTATTTCTCTGTCGAAGAGTACAATTCATTTGCAGCGTATATATTGTTTGTGAGTAGGATGCTGGAGTGCGAGGAGGAACACCACCCGTGCCAGAGGAGGAACGCAACCAACGCGATCAACCTAGTTGCTGTACTACTCTTAGGTTTTTTCGCTAAAGTCACGTAGGGAAATTTTTTTTTATAATAAAAATAATAGAAATACTAATAGAAATAAAATAATAAATCACGACGTTTCGGAGGCAACACAAGCTTCCTTCATCAGGTGTAAAAAGGCACAGCAAAATGTAGTGAAATAACTGTAGTGATTTATTATTTTATTTCTAGAATGATGAATATTTTTTATTATATATTTATTTTTACCTACGTGACTTTACCGAAAAAACCTAAGAGTATGAATCCTTGCAGTCATGAAAGCTTCAAATCTAGAATTAGTTGCTGTACTGCTGTATTCTTGCAAAGACCCTTTGAGGGACCAGGTGGCTCGCATATTTGATGGCTGCAGTCCCAACGTGAGCGAGTCTCAGGAATCAAAATCGGTATTTTATACTGGAGGAGAAATCTGATGAGCTATAAAGCGCTTTTTTTCACACATGTCCAGTGGGGGCTGGTCAAAAAGTTACAACCGCAAACAATACAATACATGATAGGAGTGCAAAGTATAGGAAAAGTAAGGAAATTACTTTGTGTATCTATTTTTTATTTTGCCACACAAAGCCCTCCGCTATGATTTTATTACACGCTTTTATTTAGCTCACTCCGTCTGTTCTATCCTCAAACAAATATTTTAACTACATTTTTACCCACTTACCAATGTGCTATCGACTGCTAAACTTGGTATACTTATGTCATACTGATGACAAGACTATATTCTATCATTAAAATGTAAATATATATATTTGTAAACATTTTACACGCTTTTTTATTTAACTCACTCTGTTGTATCCTCAAATCTTGTAACTCAATTTCAACCGTCTTCCCAATGTCGCATCGACTGCAAACTTGGTGTAGGTATGTCATACTGATGACAATACGATATTCTATTATTGAAAATTAAAAATACATATTTTTAAACAATCTTTTTTACGGCTCTAATTATCCACGCTCAACTGACGTTGGCTGTAAATCACCACGGGCTCTTACGTTATGGCAAGCTTCGGGGAGCCACTTCGTGGAGTCGTGGAGTTCTTCCATTGCTAGTACGGTACATTTCATTAAAGTGTGTTTAAAAAAAGTTTTTTTAAATATGACTTATTTCAGAAGCGACCAGGCCATGAGTTGTCTCCAATAACGCCCCCGCAGTTGGGTTCCTTGCTCGCGGGCAAGACTCAAAGGGAGGGCAATAGACGGGCGGGGGGTCCCCAGTAAAATATCCGAGCAGTTCCTCGTCTTGTCTATGTTACGTATGTTATCGAAATTATTTCGCACCGTACGTAGCCGACCGTCCTAATCGGAGGTGTGGGGCATCGCAAGTGCATCAACACACCCCTGATATCAGTGGTCGTCCTCAGGAGAACCTTGACCACAATCCGAACATGGAATTTATACAATTTGTTCAGGGCTGTCAATTTAAATGATTGTCCACGATCACTTACACAAATGGACACTTTGTTAATACCGCTGTCACGAATAATGACGGTGGCAGCCAAGGATCTGCATACGTAAATGTGTACATGTTCACTGACACCTTTCATCACCATTTTGCAGGCACGATGGTTGGCGTTGTGGTGGTGGGTGTTGGCATGGCTGGCAGGGTGCGAATCCATGACCTTGGCACCCCGGACCGGCCAGGCGAGACACAAGATCTTCACATTGTTGGATTTGTCTCACGGTAATGCATAACGTTGCATTTGCTATTAAACGTATTGTGCCCACTATCACAATGCAGTCATCCATAACCGTTGGTCCTGATTGTGCTAAAATGTCAATAAGTTGATAACAAGCATTTAAATGAGTGCGCTGTATCATTGAATGGTTCCCTTGTAGTAAGGTAAGGTTGCATATCCTGAGAGTTCTTTCCCAGCACAGGTGTGCAGTTCTATGGATGGAAAATAATTTAAGTGCAATGCATGCATATATTAAATATGTATGAAACATATATTGTTGTGATATTTGAAAAGCAAGCGTTGAATAATGGTGGCAATGTTTTACATTTCCCACCATATGACACTTTTAATAAATCTATGATATATTTTGTTGGTCGCTTGCAATGCTTATATTTTAGTCGTATAACAATTTGCATGCTCTTGTGCTGGCTAAGGCAAGAGCTTGGAGAGATCAACGGAGTACGGCAGATCTCGCTGGAGGATGCCCTGTCCAGCCCAGAGGTTCAGGCAGTCATCATCTGCACGGAGAATCAGAGGCATGAGGAACTTGTGCGCAGAAGCCTGAGTGCCGGCAAGCACGTGTGTGTGGAGTATCCCCTCGCGCTGTCTGCCAGCACTGCCCAGGAGCTATTTAAGCTCGCCGACACTATGGGTGAGGACCACTCTTTATGTTTAGTTGTCCTTCCCCTGCACCTCCAATTCGCACGTTTGACTACGTACGATGCAAAAGAAGTTCAACATACATACATTGCAGGTGGAATTGCACTGGCTTTTTGCAAAGCCAATCAGACCCAAACGTTTAACCCCTGGCCTCACGTGACAAATTAATATTGCTTAGGGCCAAGTAAGGCTAGGACTGTGGTTAATCGAATTGTTCACTGTTTGACATCAGTGGCATAGCACAGTTTCTGCAGTGGAAAAACAAGCTGGTGCCTTCTGGGTTCGGTGGTAGAGTGGAAAATGGTATTTGGTTAAAGTATAGTATACCTTTTTACACTTGATCCAGGGTTGTGGTGACCATAATAACAAGAAGTGAAATGAAGCAGGGTGCCTCATCGCTTTGTTCGTGTTTAACATCGCATGACATCCCTCCTGTGAGTCAGTAGCTGCGCGAGTGTGTGCTGGTGTCGCTGTTAAAATAACTAGTAAGTAATCGTATTTATGAAGAAATGAGAATAGGTTTTACCCCTTTTTGGCAATTAAACAGGTGTTAAGATGTTCAACCACCAAATAGAAACCTTTTGCAAGGAAACACATTTACTCTATCCTAATTGTGAGTGCTTTTTTTGTAACAGCAAGCATGTACTGCAGTGCATGACACAAGCTATTGAATGAATGATTGTACATTGTCAGTATTTTATCATCCACCAATATTTTTGGTTGAACTTTTAGTCAAAGTGTGAGGTGCATAGTTTTATTTCTGTATTTCTTAACATCACGAGCAAAAGCACAAAGTTGAGTGCTGCAAACAGGATTCACACCCATTGCTCAAGAGATAAAATGCCACACTGGACAGATATTAATCTAGGTTATTTCTAAATTTGAAAATGAGCACTGTTGCAAGTGTCATTTTAAATGTGGCACCATTGAATCCCTTGTTATTAAAAAAAAAAATTGGTCATGGTGTTCTATCAAGTTTTTAAATTATTAATTGCCATGTGGTTCATATAGCCGGGTGTGGTGGTGCATGTCACCTTCCATCCAGCACCGTGGAGTCCAGGGTTAGTTGACCACAGAGGTTGGTGAAATGCCTAAACCAACTGGCTGTTAAATGGTTAGGATATATAGCAAATGGATTGTGAATCTATGCGAATGTTTGAGTGTATGTGTAGGTTTTCTCTGGGTAATAGAATAATAACCACAAAACAATTATTAATGTGGATTTAACCCAACATCACAATGCAGGACATTCGTGAACATAAGTCCAATGAGGCCATTCTGGTTAAAAAAAGTGCCATTACAGGACAATTATTCACAAAAAAAACTATCTTATTTGTGTGAGGTTTCTTAACATAAAACATACATTTATTGGAACATGTGTATATTACTCCTGCGTAGACCTCAAACATGTCATTTAAGGCTTATGTAATTAATAAAGCACATTCTTGCATGGTAGCATTGACAATGAGTGTTGAATGGTCCATGTTATCCCTTTCCATCGCACAGGCAAGGTGCTGCACGTAGAACACATTGAGCTGCTCACCTCCCAGTACAAGATGCTCAAGCAACAGGTGGCAGCACGGGAGCCACAAGAGGGACATCTGTACTTCACCGGTAACACACTGCTGCTGCTGCTGCTGCATTAGTCTCGAAACTGAACTTGTGATCGTGACAGGCAGTTCATGACAGTATGGAGTGGAGTTGAGGCTTGGCCTTAGGAAATTTGTTTACTTTGGCATATTTTGAGAGGTAACGGAAGTAACTATGCATCAATCCATCCAATAAAAATGTTTTCTTCCTATCAAGATACATGCATCGAATCGCATGACAATTATTTTGGAACTTATAAGTTGTATGTAATGAGTTCACTTGATGACCCCCTTTAACAATACCACAATCATTAAATATATGTTTGAATCGTAATCCTGAATCTTAACAATTCCTTGCATCATGAGGAGTGGGGCTGCTTACAGGCTTGGTGCTTAACTTCTCAGGTATACAAGGATTATCTCTCGTGGCTGTACTTTTGAGGATGATTATTAATATTACAAATTGGTTAAAAATGCATTGATCTCTCTGAATCCACGTCGGGCAGTGAGTGTTGTTTCTCTGGTGGTGTCTGCTTGACTAAAAGGCAAGCCATTGTGCGAGAAGAAGAGTGGCTTCTTGGCATTCAGTGGGGTGACCCGGGTCACCTGGTTCGTTGACCTGTTTGGGGAGCTCTCCGTGGAAAAGGCGATGTTAGAGACACGTCCCGAGCAGCAAAACACGAAGCTCACTGCCCACCTTCTCACTGCTAACAACAAGTAAGGAAACATAGCCTTCATCGTTATTTGAGGTCACCTGAAGCCAGTTTTTTTAGTCACAAGATACTGCTATTCCTGTTGTATTCCATGCTACATAAATAGATATAACTATTGGTGTTCATAGAGAATGCTTTATTCTTCACAGATAGGTTGGGTATTATGTGAAAGATGTATGCTGTATCGGTTTAATGAATTGTATGCGGTGAATGTTAAAAGGGTATCTAGTCCTCAAAGAGCGTTCAATTTATATAAACAAAAATAGTACTTTTCCTAAATTGAATGATTAGACCTTGACTTTGGCACACAATGGCATGCACTTATAAAAAAAAACTATTTATTTAATGTATTCGACAGTTGGTGAAATTTGGTTTGTGATTCACAGCATGATTGACCTTCAGGTAGAATTTTACTTCACTGGTAATTGTGTAAATCATCTGGGAAGCCTCAGAAACAGCGTTAACTAAGAGGGGCATAGTTACCCTTCAAGCCTTCTCCATTGCCGATTGTAATATACTCGGGACAGGACCTCGATCCCACCACCGAGGCCTTCCTTCTAGACCCAATTGACCAGTAATTAACCCATGCTGGCAGTATTGTGGGCTCGAATGAGTTTAATGGAGAAGTTGATAAAAGTGAGCCACACGGTGTAGATTCCAGCCTGACGTTTTTGCCTGATGGTAGGTGGCTGACATGGGTGGAGGAGCGTGGCGAGGGGCTGATGCGCTCCAAGCAGATGCGGATCAGCTTCACTGACGGCAGCTGCATGGAATCGCTGCCGCAAGGGCCGAGAGGGCCCGAGTTCCTCTTCATGCAGGACTTGGGCCTCTTTGCACGAAAGCTGCGTGCAGGAGCCCCCTTCCCGGACAGCGAGCACGCAGAGCGCCGTCGCATCCTGCACTGTTTGCAGCTTGCCACTGACATCCAGCGCCACTGCATGCAGCTAGCGTAACATGTCGCTCATGGGCTTTAACAAATATATCTAATTCGCACAGATCATTGTCCGTGGCTCTTTGGTCATTTCGCACCACTGTTGCTGTTGAATATTTGGGTGGTCATAAAAATGTTTTAATATTAACATTTATCCAATTATTACATTGAATAGTCATTAAATATTAATCTATGGGTTAAGTGGATCAGTTTAACACGTAGGCTTTTGCGACCAATGTTATCCATAATCAACGTTTTTGGGTTTAGATCGCGTTAACTATTTGTCTTTGTCAACGTGACACATTTTTACTGATTGGCCGTGTCGGGTGGTGGAGGGTTAAGTGGAGATGGATTAAAGGTGTTAAGGGGCTAGTGCCCTCAATATGAAATGTATTGCTTTTTAATACATTTATAAATGAATTCATTTAAATATTGTTATAATTGCTTTTAATTATTATTGATCAATTTAAACAGTTAATTGGGTAATTATCTGCTGAAGCATGACGCGATCATTGAGTATTATTAACGGTCAATTATTACACACGTAATAAAGGACAATTATGCATATGATAAGGATCAATTGTGATGCATATGTGACACCTGCTGGCCTGGAAGGTGAATCACGGGCACGGTGAAGCAACAACCAATCAGAGAAGGAGGTCTATCTGGGGCAAAGGTATCGGGTGGGGCTAGCCGAGATACTCCGGGAACCTGCTCGAAGGTTCCACGAGAGGGCGTGGCCGGAGGCGGGGCTTAGCCATGCCTGGGGGGATATAAGGGGGAGCGGACCCGGGGCTCGTGTGTCGGGTCTTGGGTCCTGGCTGCGTCGCTGCTCGCCAACATCTCTCTCCGTCGTCCGGTCACGTGGAAGATCTGCGTGGTTTCCATCGCCGTCATCGTCACGCCGTCAGCCAGCGGTGTAGCCGAGTGAGGGCGATGGGACCACGCCGAGTGATCGGCTGTGTGTAGCCAGTAAAGACGTGAATATCTAGTGTTGTACACCGTGTGAGGAAGAATAAATGTTGGCCTGTGTTGTGTCCAGTGTGAGTAATAAAGTAGTGCCCTCTGCACGATGCGTCGCGGAAGTCGCTCATTACACATATGATCAGGAGCAATTATCGATTAGCATAACTAAGTTCCGACATTCATTCAAGCTCAATTCGTAAATTTAGTAACTCCATAGATTCTCAAAATAAATCATAAATAGCTATTTTTTGGCTTGTAAGTTGTTTAGGGGTATGTTATGAATCTTTGATAATATAAATGATTCTCGCTTATTAATCATAGACCATTAAGTCAGGTCTCACCGCAGGATATAGTTATTGAAATTGAGAAATATGATGCATGGATTAGGAAAGATGCACACTCGGAGCCTGTTTAATATAATAAACTTTTTATATCGGCTCTCAATGACAGCCAAAACTATACTTATAGTGTAACTACAGTACATATGCAAATGTGTAAATTCCTACTAAATGGCTAGAAAAGCATTAATGATCAAGATTATGCGATTTAAAAAAATGTTTAAATATGTCTTCACATCTCGTACAATGTCAAGTTGACTTTGCAACACTGATGGTAAAAATTTAACCCGTAAAAAAAAGTTTTTCACTATAAATCCTTTATATGCGTGGCGGCTAGAGTCCTCTCATCCTCTGGCTTGAGATGGCTGCCACCTATGGGTCAGATGATTGCCTGCCACCATTAAGCAATTGGTAATTAAATATAATTTATTTTTCCTAAAAAGTGTAAAATTTTGGGGAAAAAATTTCACGAAAATAAATTGTCACGCACAACGAGTCTGTGTGCAAAATGTCAGCTCGATTGGATCACGGGAAGTGGGTTAAAAAACGACCGAAAGATTTGCACGGTCGTAAGCGCGCAAGCAAGCAAGTGAACTTAATATAAAGGATTTAAAAAGGAAGGGTTATAACTGAGTGATGTCCACTCACGGACAAAACTGTTACAGTTCATAAGATGTACAATATTTATTTCACCTTTGAAACTGAAGGGTACTCATTTACTAAGGAAAATAGCTTAAGCTACAACGAGCATTTGCCAACAATCACCACAGTACAACATAGTAAATTCTTTAGCTTGGCAATGGCATGTTACTTTCTGAATTAATCCTTACTGCATGAGAAAAGACTGTATAAGGTGAACAATTTTTCTCTTGACACAACTTGTATCACGATAATATTTTGGTTGATAACGAGTTCCACCCGGAGTTCTGCCTGGGCGAGAGACCCAAAATATATGGTTGCTTACAAGTACTATTTGGAGTTCCACCTGCAGGCACATCCCATTGGCTCACCCCCAAGTCACCTCTGGCTTTGGCTTCTCAGACTTCCCCTTCGTCCATACCAAGATACGTGTGAACACAGATCGTCACTGCTCTGTGATTTATTCACTCATAACGGTCAGCTCCAGGTTGTCTGGCCTGTCCCACGATTGTGTGTGTATGTTGCTCTTCAGCAAATGTGGTTTGGTGTTGAAAATAGATCCCTCATGTTATGCCTTTGTTCTGTACTCTTATATGAACCTGGTAACCTGAGTTTGATTCCCACTCATGATCAATACAGTGGCGTTTTTCTGAATTGGTCCTGGCTAGGCCTTAAAATGAGTACCTGGTGCGACATGTAAAGATCGCCACTGTGGAGACAAAGGCGGTGGGGCGTGGCTCTGGTCAAGTGCTGTGTTGGCCTTCATAGGTGTTCGCTAACAGCAATTGCCCCAACCGTCTGTCAAGCCCATATGAGGGTTGTGTTTGTGTGAGTGGGATTTGTATGTTCTACTCCCGTCTGTACCCTTGAATTCATATTTCACATTTGGTCCTGGAGAGTTGGTCTGATGAAAAAATATAAAAAATAGAAATTGTATGGGCAATGGCCTTCATCAGCATGCACTGCCATAATTCATTATACATTTTCACGTGATTAACCGGACCGTATGGTGTTTCTACATGGATAACACTATGTTAATAAGAGCATGCAAACATCTCTATTTTAACCTTTTCACCCCCGGCTGCATTACCATGTAGTAGGTAGTCGCTTATCATCAAGGTGATATTGTGATACCATGATTTTTAAGGGTTGTTCACACGTGGCGGTCATCATTATGTGTTTATTTTTTTTATGCTAAGACTTATGAATTGTTGGTCACTCAATTGTTGAGAGGCAAGTTTTTTTTGTCTCCTTGCAAATGGGCACTTTACAAACAGCAGGGTGCCCGTGTATGGCCTCCCTGGAAGTAATTGCCTCTGTGTTTTGCTTTGGAGGTAACTTCACAATCTCTTGCTATTCTTATCATACCAATCCCTCAAAGTCTCTGGTACTCTGTTTTCCAAGTTCTCACCCTGGTGATAATTGGATTTTGCCTCATCTTTTGTTACGCCCTCGGAAAATAAGGAATGCACATATAATGAAAATATAACGGGCAATATCACGGGAAAAAATTTATTGGAAAAGGAAAATACACAACATCGCTTACCCCTGCATGCATGCTTAAATTAGACGTCATCATGTTTCCGTGGTTTGGTTGTAGGTAATTTAAATGTTTTCGGTTTAAGCTATGACGACCACACTAATGGCATTCGTGTGACTGCCACAATATGTTTTAAAATAATGTGAAATGCGAAAAATGTGAACTGGTCACGAAAATATAATGCCTCAACTGAAAACTATGTCATATGCTGATGATTTGGGCAATGACTATTTTTTTAGAGCAGAAGTCATTTGCACCCTCATTCACAATGGCCTACAATTACAATAATTCCATTATTTATGTTTTTGTTAATGATATATGTGGTGAATTTTGTGTGTGCTTTCACACCACTATCAAATGACTCATATCTTTTATTCGATTTCAAGCTTAATGATTTCTTAATTAAAATAACGTACACTCCTTTGTCAATCCACTGCTGGATGAAGGCCCTTTTGCACTGTGTTGGTCTTAGAGGCATTCACCGTGTGGGTCAGTGTGGGTTTGAAGAGGAGTGGGTCATATCGGTCCATATAACGCATTCCTGCGGAGGGAGCTGGTAGGAACGTTGGGTTGCTCGGTCAATGTTCAGGGTCAACGGCGGCGTGGTGTATTCTGCAAATATGCCCGACTGTGAGGGCGGGCACAAGCGTGAGTAGGTTAAACATTGAGTTTTATAAGGGCACCACGGGGTGACCAGCCCCTTCCCACCCAGCCCCACCCCTCCCACCCCACACCCAGCCCCACCCCTCCCACCCCCCACCCAGCCCCACCCTCCCCACCCAGCCCCACCCTCCCCACCCAGCCCCTCGTTCCCCACCCAGCCCCTCCCCACCCAGCCCCTCCCCACCCTCCCTTCCCCACCCAGCCCCACCCTCCCCTCCCCACCCAGCTCCTCCCTCCCCACCCAGCCCCTCCCTGCACGACGGACACAATAATCCCCTGTGGGCTGGTGTAACCAGAAGGTTCCTACCAGTATCACTCCTAATGTTCGCTGTGGCCGGAAATCAAACTCGGCTCGCTGGGTTCATAGCATGGGTTGCTTACCATTGTGCCAGTACCTAACTATATTTGTTTGGAAAATATTAATCGTTAAATTTGCAATATTTAAATATGTTTAATTATTTGCAGTGGTATTGTGGTTCTTATAAAAATGAAATATATTAATATTGATTAACTCATATTCTTTCATGAGTAAGCTGTACTTCACGTAATAATCTGGTGATTTTGCCATTCATTTGTAATTGCTTAATCTGTATAACATGAAATAAATGTTTTGAAAGATTTGAACATAACTTGTGAAATACTGTGCATCAATTAAATAACCAATGCTTAGAATAGCAATCAAATCCTATAACATATGGTGGGACATAATTACCATAATTAACACAATTAATGGTGACTTATTTGGCTAGGCAATTAACCAATTTCCTCGATGGTAAGTAGTCTGATTGCTTTGTGGGGATTATGACAAATGCTAGTTTCAAGAACAACGTAGGAAATGCACCCAATACATAGTTGCCTATTACAATTACATTTCAATTGAAGCGGTGGGGGCAGTTGTTTATTGTCTCAACTCGCACGGGAACATCCACAAAAATGTTCCGCATGTCAAAATAAGTGCCTCTTGTGGCAAAATTAGACATTTTGTAAATATGCGTAGTGGTTCAAGACCAAACAATTATTTGAGTGTGATGCAATAATAGTAAACGTTTCAAGAAAGTTACTTTTTCCAGCTTTTAATATGCCATTTTATCAGCATTTAGCAATAAATTAGAATTAACCTGTTACTCCGAGTAACAGCCTACTCCACAATTTGCTTTAGAAAGTATTAAACATTATCGACAGCTCAGTCATATGTAGCTCATCGCCTGTGAGCTGTCGTTGTCAATGCTTTACTTGCACGCTAGGAGGACCACTGCCTCCATGCAATGAGGTGGGAAGAAAGTGCGCCTCCTGTTGGTTTCCAGAGTGGCTGGACACAATAGTGACATGATGAACTTTTCAGATGTCTGCAGGGTAGTTGGGATATACAGCGGAATGTCACCGGTTAACAAGTTCTTTGTCAGTTATATACGCATAATGGTTTGCTATAAGCTACAGTATATTTCTACAAAGAGGCCCAGTCAGTGTTGTAATATGGCAAAAGTGTGACTTGGAGCATGCTTTTCGGTGAGCTTTGCAGTTTTTGAGTGGCACGTGTAGTATTCTATAGAATATTTCATGTATGATGTACAATCTGTATATGTTAATTTTTTCTCTGTTGGATCACTAACCTGAAGATTATTTTAAGCATTCATATTTTTGAGTCGTGTATTGGTTTTCTCCATCTAAAATTTCATTATACGTACTCTGCTTTAGAAGTTGTGCTGGCTTTTCCATGCTGTGATTACAGAGTTAATGTCAATTTGTAATAGAACAGTATGATTTCGGCGAACACTGTGCACACCACTCTTAAACTAAACATTTTTATTTTGCCCTTTGTTTGCCTTAAAATAAAAAAGTGCTGCCCTGGACAGCTGGTTGTGATAGTCACCACTTAAAATAATATGTAATGTTTTGAAATAAGTGTTAAAATGAGACTGACT